CTCAGGAAAATTGTGATAGGCATTTTTTTAACTATTATCCAAGTTATGGACCATCTTTTCCTCAAACATTGGTGCACTTGAGGAAAAAGGGTTGTAATCTTTAGATGACTCATGAAAAGCCTGTATTTGTTACATGGCTTGTTCATGAGATATAAAAAAAAAAGATGGTTTCAAACTTTGGTCTTCATACTAGGAATTCCATGTATCTGGAGTTTGCTTTTTGTTCATGTTTCAGTTCTTTGAAACTTAAATGTCTTGGGATGGTAGAAGTCCCTTTAGTGTTGATCTCAAAACCTCAGCGAAGAAAACCAGAACTATATAGAGAAAGGCAGATACCATTAAGAGAGAGAGGATGTTTGAAATAATTTGGTTAAACTAGTATATAAGAAACATAAGTGATGGTTACAGCAGCCTAACTGCAGTTTTGTGGATGAACTATAGATGGAGCCAAAGTTCAAACAGTGGACCAGATCTAGCACAATGCTGCAGCTTTAGAGGGTTAGACAACACTGTGATACACCAGGGTGACAAAAACAGCTCATATATGCCATATATATTCATGTTGAAGAGACACCATATTATTAATGTGGTGGTACCTCAACATGGATACACATCATGAACACTGCAGAGCCTTCAGAGTATTGTTTCATCTGAAAACAGTCATTTATGAGCCTTACACATGATGCATCAATGTTCTGTATTCATCTCATAGAAAGTCATGTGATCATGAAAAACCTACAACCAATCATTGTAAGTATAAGCACCCAAAACACGGACTGTCAGGGGAGGAACATTTGATCCATTTCAGAACACTGACCTTTGAAAAGCTCAGACCGAGCGCCCTCTAGTGGTGAACAGGTTGTATAACAAGCAGCAAACAGCTGTGGCTGAGTTGCAGCAAATGTGTGACACCTGAAGCTCATCAAACTGATCCTATAAAGGTAAGTGGCTTATCCTCAACATACCACCAAGCTGCTGTGTTTAAAATGGGTCAGAAGTCAAATATAGATGTTCATTTATGTAGAGCAGCATTCATAGTACTGTTGAGCGCCTAAACTGAAGCCTCGATGTTTTTGATATTTTTCTGCGATTTAAATCACAGTTCATAATTATAACATATTGGATGTATCTTTATTAAATGGTGGCAGCACCTACGGTATAGTGCAGTATGCAGTGGCATTTTTAGGTAGAAAAAATAGTAGGCCAACAATTTTGCAAAGATTCAAAAACATAAAATTACAGAATGTTATAATCTGACATGATGCACTGTTTCACATTTCTCACACAGGTGATAATCAGACTGGGCATGTACTCGTTCTCCTCACTGTGCTGTTTTTCTGCTCAAGTCCTCATTTCTTTGCGTTGTCACTTTGGCTAGTTATATTTGCCCAATTTTACTGCGTTTTCCTGCCACTGTCATGTTTGGTAATCCTCTCAGAAACATGCTTCAGATCCTGGAAACTTGTTTTTGACCAGGCTCCATCACCTTAGAACAAATCACACAGGAAGCCCTAAAAATGTGTCTTTTCTGACCAGTTAGGGACTGTTCTTTACTCGTCAGAGGAGCAGGGTGGCTGGGATATGATTTTGTTTTATTTTTATATTTTGACCCTTCCCGAAGCTACAAATATTTTTACTCAAGCTTCCATGAGTCACTGGCAGAAAATGTATGACCTGCCCTCTATAACATAAATTAGATATTAGATTTTAAAACCTATCCTATGAAGTTTGAAAGTTAGAAGCTGAAGACAAAATCCTAGAGTTCATGCATGTTGGTTAGGACATACAAACGGTTTATTTTGGCCACATTTTAAATGATACGTACAATAAGTTTACTGATGAAACATCACTGTTTTAAGCTCAGATTTGTTATTTTATTTTTATTTTTTTGATGACAGAAGCTTTAGGTGCACATGATATGTCCAAGGACCAACAGAAATGTGAAAATCCAATGATAACTTTTGTGTTCTTTAAAGAAAGTATCCTTTGGTTTGGAGGACATGTTTTCTTTAAGAATCAGTAGCTGAAATAAATACAAAATACAACCATTTAAATGTGTATGCCCCTCCCTTAAGCCACATTAAAAAAAACATATGTCCCTCCCCAGTGCTTAAAAATTATTTGACATGCCTGCCCCTTTTTGCACCAACCCCCCTCAAAAGTAAAGAACACTCCCTTACACATTTTGTTCTGGGGAGCAACTCCACATAAAATGTGATTATTCTTACCTGCAGTTTGGTTGATAACAATCTTTGTCAGCTGGAGAGCACCAAGGTTTTAATCTCAAATATTTTTTTACAAGGCAGATTGTAGAATAATGGTGAATGACTGTCAACAGAAGATTTTTATGTCATGCATTAATACAGAATTATATTTCCTATAGCACCACTATTTCTGTTGCCAGCAGGTGGAGCTCCACCCCAAATGACCTTTAGCCTCTGGCAGCATGAATTTTACAGAGTCTTTGCTACCAGAGTGATTATAAACTTCAGGTGTACTGAGATTATAAATTGATGTATTTTAAAAAGCAATTATGAATGTATTAGATTAAAAAAGACCAGAGTAGCAATGACAGATCTGATTGATCAGCTGCTCTCTGATAACAGAAAACAAATACATAGTAAAGATGGAATATGATCAATACTACGACTGCACCCAACTTATGTTAGTCAATCGGATTTTGCTGTTCAGTACGAACATTCGACTATTTGTTCTTTCTATATAGTTTGAGAGGTTGAGCGATGTTTGGCGGGACGTTCAGGGTGACAGCAGCGTTCACGTAATGTTGTGAAAAAAGCCAAGTTAGCCCTTTAAGTGAATGCATGCTAACTACACTAACAACAAATTGGAAATGTGTAACAACATTTTTTGCCAACACATGATATCAAACAAAAACCAGACTATTTCAGGTTGAGTTGCTGTGAGCTGTAAATTCACCTCTTCTAAGCAGAAGGCAGAAGATGACATTACCTTTGAGCCTCTGGGCAACTGCCTCCTTGTCACTTAGGCTCACTTTGGGTCTGGGTCCACAGCTGCCTGCACCGGAGAGCAGCGTAAAAGCGAGAAGTGCTCCCTCTGCAGCTAAATCTGGGGACGGAAACATCTCCAGAAGTACACTGCACACTGACTGACGAACGGCTGCTCGCCTTGAGGAATCTCAGTCGACTGAGGGGTCGCTGACTGATGATTTGAATCTTTAACTTTTAGGGGGCAGCCTTAATAGGTCGACACATAGCCTAAATAAATGGAATAACAGAATCTAAAATCTGTCAGAAAATACTCTACCAGCACCTCTAAAACTCACTAATTAACATGCAACATCTTGTTTTGATTTTTAAATCCACAGAAAAACCACCATGAAAAAACTTGGTTAGCTTTAGAGGTGCTGGTAGGCAGAATTTACTTTTGTGCATAGCAAGGCCAGCTGTTTCCCCATGTTTCCAGTCTTCTTCGTGCTAAGCTAACCATCTGCTGGTTGTAGCTTCATTTTTAGTGTACAAACATGAGAAAGGAATAATTGTGAATATGCATTTTTTCCAAGTGTATCAACTCATAATTTGATTATAATTTAACACAGAAAAAGTCTATACCGCAAAACCATTAAACGCCTGGTCCCTTTTACTAGCTTGGTGTGGCTACACATTTTGACAAATAAATGTCTGTCTCAATTAGATGCCTGGTCTGGCTGCCAAGTAGTTCATTTATTTTTTATATTAGTTCCTCGGATGTATTAAATCGGGTTGTTGGCTACCTCAAATTAGGGGTAGGGGTAAAAATCAATACAGCATAATGTTGTGATATTTTTGTGTGGCAATATGGTATCATCACAGAATGCCAAGTATTGATTTTTTTTAATTACATAAGTTATTAATATTACAAATACAAATTAAACTTTAGGTAGTCTACTAGAATAATATGATAAACTGCTTTTTCAGCCCACTGGATACATTTTTCTGCTGCAAAAAAAAAATGGCTGAAGTGAGACAAACAGACTGAAAACTTTATCTTCTGTATATATATATATGTTGACAAAGCTTTCCTTTGGGGACATAATTTACAGTTGAAAAAGGTAATGAATAGCACTATATCATAATTTATTTTATCGCAATACTTAGCATATAGCAACATATTTGAAATCGCAATAATATTACATCGTGACCTGAAATCATGTTTCCATTCCTCGATTAACCAAACTGGAACGACCATCGTTAAACAGAGGAGGTGGCCTACGACACCACTTAACACCCACCTATACTGCAGTCTTGGGACCCCTCCCTTGATGACTTAACACCCATTCACACCTGTTCCCATCTAACCCTAACAGCACACAAGATGGCCTGGTGGGTCAACGACTCACATGTGACCTTAACAACTCTGTAAGGGTTCACACCCACACAGAGTGCACACTCTAGACTCCATAGAAACACAAAACTTCGCTGCTGAGGTAGAGTCAGTGAGCCTTAAAGGGATAGACACAACGGCTGAGAGGAAACAGTCTGACAAAAACACCCAAATAGGTTCAAGTTTTTTTTAAGGGTGGCTTCATTTACTGCACCTTTGCCAGAGATTATGAGTACTATATTACAACAGACCTAATCTGAGACATTGAACTCCATCAAATGGATTTATAAGTATATAATCATTATGTAAAAGAAGAAGTCCAGGAGCAAGTTGCACAAAACAACTTAAGTTTTCTCATTAAGTATGGCACTTAAGACTTAATTTTTCCTAAGCTGAGGGACTTACTTAAGGGTGTTGCACAGAACCCCCTAGTTTCCTTAGTAAAGTAAAAATGTCGAGGCATTTACTACACTGAAAGATTTTACAGTGGCAAAGTACTAGTTTACATGATAACCATTTGTTTGCTTGTGCTCAGCTTGTGAAACCTAAACTTTGGGGGATCCTTAAGTAAAAGACCAAGATAGGGAGAAAATCTTCAATACATAAATGAAAATTTATGAAAATCTTGATTTGATTTATGGATCAATATTTGGCACTATAGTCTCATCTAAACAGGTCAGAAAATGTAAAACATAAATTCATTTATAACACACAGCAACAATCCATGACACACAGATGCTTGTAGTTTTCAGCTGTGTGTATTTAATGACTGATGCAGAGGACGTCATGTCAGTGTCTCTGAACTACAGACACAAGAGGTGGAGTGATAAAACAAAAACTACAGCGGATCAGGGTCACCTGGAGCTTGGCACGTACAGCAATGAATGATTCAACTCAGAAACATACAGTTTACAGACACACACACACACATTATTTCTCTATAATCTCCTATAACACACACTTACACATTTGCATTTAACACAATAAACTGTGTATGTCCTCCACCTTCACAGCACTTTGCTCTCCACACTCCAGATATACAGAAGAGGAAGTGTGTGTTCAGATATGTCTGGGAAAACGCACACAAATGAGTTTTTGTGTATCTGTGGATGTGTAAGCATGTGTTCATGTATCTCTGAGAGCAGCTACAAAAATGACACACAAACACACATGCACCATTGACACCCTATCTCACACACAGACTACATTTCCCATGTTTTTTGTTGTGTTTTTTTTTTAAACAATAAAACCATTCAAGGTCTCCAAACAAATAAAATATGCTGCCAAAAAACCTTGAAAACACTCCGCTGACACAAGAGCATCGATATACATTTTGGTTCTAAGGCAATATTGTAGTTCCACAGGACTAGTGCTGTTGATGCAGTGTGCTGTTCGCACGCCGACTGTGTCTCCTATTTCCAACCACAGTCGCCTGTCATTCAGTGTATTCTTATGTGTTAGCACCATGGGAATCTCTCCTTCAATCAGAATTGTGTCACTCCGAGAGACAGCTGTGAAAATATTCCTTTCCAATATCCACTTTTTTGGGAGCGGGGCTGAGGTGGAAACTGGAAACATCCACGAAAGTTTGTTACAAGATGGTGCAAACTCAAGAAACAGCATGGACACACACACAACATAATGCAAGGCTTAACATTAACATCACAGATCATTTGGAAATTCTCCATTTGCATTTTTTTTTCTCCCCATTCCACGATGGTTGTCTGCATAAGCTTTAAGCAAAAAGGGCAAATGACGGACTTCAGCCTTTTGTTTGTTCTTTTTTTTTTCTCTGTACACACAGACACACATACAGTAAACACAACGGGTTTTACAATAAGACATGAAATAAAATCATCTGCAGCCGTTCTGAGCTGGGTTGCAGTTCCCAGGCATCAAAGGCAATAAAAATGTCTACTCAGAGTTTCCTCTCAGTTACTGTGGATATGAGCAGCTGTCTGATCACAGTACGTCGCACAGTCCAAGGAGTCAGACGAGACTCTGAACTCCCCAGGTGGATGCATTTTTCTTTTTAAGTAGAAGCTCTTCAGTTCCTCAAGCATCCATAGTTTATAGTTCTGAATATGAGTCTGGTGTGTTTACCGGTGTGTGTGTTTGTACTCTTTTGTTTTGCCACCGTGAGTATCCACACTGAGGGTAGCTGGATGTGCAGTAATGAAAACCATCTCCTCCACAGAGATGGCTCGCTCAGTCGTCGGCATGATTCTCCACGTTTGCTGAAGCACGTATTGATATCTCAGTGTTTTTCCTGTCTCATCTCAGAGTGCGCTGACCTGTGTGGAGCCACGGAGGGAGACTAATGTTCACGTCAAGTGTTGACTTCCCCCCGCGGCTGGTGAACGTCCACAAATGTCCGCATCTGTCTGTCGGTCCGAGAAGAGGGGACAGGCTGTACTTTTCTCGTTGCCATGGTGAAGGTCAGGGTGACAGTGGCGGGGGGCTGCACAGAGGTCAGAGGTTACGGGCTGCGTGTGAGGTCATTTCCTGGTGTGAAGGCTCTCCTGGATCTTGGTGCTCGTGTAGCGGATGTGGAAGCCCTTCTTGCTGATTGTGTCGTCGCTATGGAAACGGATCAGCATCGTGCTTCCGGGCGAGTAGATCCCTTCCCTGGGCTGAGGAAGGGAAGAGGGAGACATGTGAAGCAATGTCTTAGACACTGAGAGGTTCATGTCACTGGTTTTGAATAATTCAGTCTGTTAACTACAAATCAAATAGAGTTTACATCACAGGTTAGGTGTGGCTTGTGTATGGGGAGTTTGTTTGTGTATTTTTCCCACCTTCCAAGAAAAGTTTCCATTAATTATGTGTGAACATCGACTGGAAATTTTGAGCTTTGTCATCTTCATTGGCCATTTTTCTACTTTGAGTACTTTTATTTTTTTATTCTGTAAAGGAACAGTTCACCCCCAAAGCAAAATACATGTTTCCCTCTTATCTGTGGTGCCATTTGTCAGTCTAGATTGTTTTGGTGTGAGATGCTGAGCAATACAGATGTTTATCGTCTCTAAAATATAATGGAACTAGATGGCACTCAGCCTGTGGTACTCTTTCCAGAAATCATGACCTGGTTACTCAAGATAATCCACAGACCTTGCTGTGAGCAGTTTCATGTAGGAACTATTTGCTTTCTAATAATCTGCACCTGCCAACCACATCACCGCGCAGAAGGAAGAGTGCATCTACTGGTGTAGCTCTGTAATTTTTTTTTTTTTTTAGCTCTTTGAGCACCACTAGCCGAGTGCCATCTACTTCAATTACATTCAGAAGAAGGCTGACATCTTTACAACCAATGTCTCCAACGCTCGGCAACTCAAACTAAAACAATAAATGACTGATAAATAGTACTACAGGTAAGAGGAAAAACATGTTTGATTTGGGTATGAAATGTCCCTTTAAGCACATTTTGCTAATAACATGTTGTTGGTGGTTTTTTTTTGCATTTTTACTTAAGTAACATTGTCAGTGCTTTTACTTGTATTGGAGTAATTTATCTGTTATCTGACCGCTTTGTATCCTTCACAATGAAAATCTAGTCTGCATTAATTTTTCTCAAAGTTATATTGTTATGAGGTAATGCAAGGTAGACTTTTATTATAAATCTTAACTGCTTAACCACTAGGGCATGTGTTTTATACAAGTCTCAAAAAAATACCCAAATGTCAGTGTTGACACCTAAGAAATAAAAAACTTTTTATCATCATAGTTTAAGAAATATAAATACATTCTTCTACAAAATTCTTTTTAATTTTTTTTTGTAAATAAAATATCTGATGGCATCAGTGATTCATATTGACACAAGCAGCTGTACAAAAACCTTGCATTAACAAAAAATAAAATTCAAAATGATGATAATGATTATGATTAAATCAGGAAATATCTGCATCTCATGTTCTGTATACTGAGATAGGTCACACGACTCTATGAAAGCAAGAGTCTGTTATGACATATTCATACTAAATGAATAGAAAGGAATGGCCATCTGGAATGGATGATGGAAAGTAAAATGAAAAAATTGAAAGTATTCAGCAGGCATTCAAAAGTTGTCAGTAAAAATCCAAAGTATACATTATTTTATTCTGTATTTTTCCGACTGTCAACAGATTCTATGAAAAGGCCAAAAAGATTATTTTTTGGCCGTTTTTAAGTCCAAACCAAACCCTGGGCCGCTCCAAGGGACCCAGCCTACATGGGGCACACACTCTATCAGGTGAGCTAGAGGTCACCCCAGTCCTTCTCTCTTTACTTTCTGTCTTCTGTCTCCTGTCAAACCCACTGGTTCAGTGGAGGTTTAAGTAAATGTGGCTCAAATGGGACTCAATAGTGTGTTTCCTGGGGACTAAATTCATCTGCAGATTTATACACATTTGGAGCTCTGCTGCGTATTCACTGCAGCAGGATGGTGACTGTGGGATTAACTCAAAATAAACTACTGTGCTCATAATCATTGTATCACCCAGTGCATGAGTGTGGTTCACTGATGTAATTTTAGACACAGCAATGGAGGAATTAAATATTTCAGGCTTTGGTTACACAAGCAATATTTACTAGTGAAATCAGTTCATTGATGGTTTTGGTCTTTGGTCTAGTTGCCCCACCAAAGATGAAATATGAGTCATTGAAAAGAAGATATAATCTTACCCCTGAACCGCAGAAGCGACCGAGTCGATGTGAGTTGGCATCGTACCCATTGTACAGCTCGATGTAGTCATAACCACAGTCAGCTTCCTCCTCTACCTCAAAGGTAATGAAGGTCAACTCGATGCCATAACCCTGCTCGGCTGTCAGCAGCCACTCACAGTCAGTGTGACCTGGGTAATTATTGTCTCCAAACTGGGCGTGAGAGTAGAGGTTCTTCTGACGAACTTCTGGCTTTAGGCGACCTCCACATTCTGCAGAGAGACAAGGAAAGAGTAAAACTTTAATCTGAAATTAGGCCTCTGTTAGACTTTGTTGTCTCAGGTCAGATGGCATGACTCTCATCTTGCATGTGCTGCTATGAACCACTAGAGGGAGATATTGCTCTTAAAAAACTATTCTGACGTGAGAAATCAAAGCTGGTGACTGAGTGATGCTCTTTGCAGTCACAAGAACTCACTCACAGTGAGATATTATCACAAACATACACAAACACTACAACATGCTTCCACACTGACACACACCTGTGGAGTGTGTAGCTTGGAAGCCCTTTCTTTGTACTGAGGCGTCAGAAATGAAGCGGAGGTACATCTTGTTGCCGGTGGAGACCAGCTGCTCCGGGATCTTGCTGCCACACAGTCGGCCCAAGATGGCTGCCGTGTCACTGTCCCCGTCAAAGGCCTCGAGGTGGTCATATGCACATTCCTGATGCTGCTCGATCTCAAACTCATTGAAGGCCTGGAAAGGTAGAAGCGGAGAGACAGAGAGGGTGAGAGGTCGCTGAGAGAGATGTGAGTGGGTGTTGAAAGATTAACTGTTGACCTCACTGTCCACAGCTTTTATAGGGGGCTACTTCTTTGTTAGAAAGCAATTCTAGTGAAAACTTGTGAAGCTGGGGTCCCTGGAAGTTGGTGAACTCTGACATTCGAATTCAACTTCAACTTTATTGTGCCCAGTGGGAAATTTGTCGTGCAGCCTGATCAAAAACACAGAATATACAGAGACATAGAGACACAGACTCAACAACATTAAGTGCCACCAGACCTATGCCAGCAAAAACCAGCATCGTCACCCCACAGTAGTTAAATGGGAAACTAATCATCAGTTGGGTCAGTTGGGATCTCAATTTCTTCATGTAGAGGATGAAGAGGACACTCTAAAATAGCTCAAATAGATTATCTCTGTCTGCACGGGATGATCTGTAGCCCCTCCTCGTTCTGTGCAGAAAAGCAGTTTAGTTTTGTGGTGAAGTAATTAAGCAAAATTTAGAGACTGTCAAACTCAGTGGTAGACTGCTTCATCTAATTACTGTAAAATACAGTGTGTGGATGCTGTGAGTTTTCTTGGTGATGTTCTTATTGGTTCACAGGAATCACAACTAAGTTACAAACATTTAAAGGAGAAGAGTGAATTGGAAAGAGACTGATGAGAGTTTCCTTTGTTGGAGCCCGTGTTGTAATGTGTGAGTCATTCTCTAAATTCAGATCTGACCTTTTTATAAAAGCAACAAAGCACACCTGAGTTTAGACTAAATGTAGCTGATGGAGAAGCTAGAAAACAAACTTAAGCTCAGCAACAAGTCGAAATTAAATCTGCAATATCTGAATTTTTGGCACCTAGGGGGTGGTGGAAACAAACTTTATACAACACTGATATATTATGCCACCTTTTAGGAAGATATGGTGAACTCATCAGCAAAGAGATGCTAATTTCCACGTCCAGCAGTTACAGAGCAACATTGTAATTCATGTGGCATTGTGTTTCCTGCCACCTGATGAATCTAACTCTTTTTTTAGCTCTGTCTTGGTCTCCACCAGTGTTCAGGTTACTGACAATTAATAGTCACAATTAATAGTTACTTCTCAAAGTATTAAAATTACTTTACCACTTATATAAAAGTAATGAGTTAATAGCAAAAGTAACTCTTGCTTTACTAAACATCTGGTTCAATTCTCTTATTAATGTATACATATCTATGTTATATTCATGTTGCTGTGGAACACTGTGGGACAAGACAGCTGTCAGATTCTGTCAAATCAAATATCATGTAATTTTTTCCTTCATTTATTTTCTGTCGTGGCTTATCCTGTTAGGGGTCGCGGGAGGGCTGGAGCCTATCCCAGCTGACACTGGGCAAGAGGCAGGGTACACCCTGGACAGGTCGCCAGACTATCACAGGGCTGACACATAGAGACAGACAACCATTCACACTCACATTCACACCTATGGACAATTTAGAGTCACCAGTTAACCTGCATGTCTTTGGACTGTGGGAGGAAGCTGGAGTACCCAGAGAAAACCCACAATGACGGTGGGAGAACATGCAAACTCTGCACAGAGGGGCTCCACGTCAGTTTTTAAGTTTCTTATTATTCTTGTATCTATGTATCTTATTCCATTCTTTGTTAACAACAGAGCATCACCATAGCAACATATTGTAATGACTATTTCATTTTTCCCGTGCCATCCAGGAGGTGTTTGTCTACCATCTTTTTGAATCAATGTGAAGGCAGCATAATTCTGATCGACTGATTCCCGTAATTCATCACGCCACCCGAGGTTTGGTGAATTTAGTTCATAACCCAGAAAAAATCTGGGGGATCGGCTGCGTTTGTGTGCTATAATCAAGATAAAAGTAACAAGTAATGAGCCCATTTAAACTTCAATACGTTCACCAGCCGGTCACTGAGTTTGTGAAGGCAGCACACAGTGAGTTTTTAGAGCTTTTCATCTGGAAACATCTGCCTGTTGTGGCAAAATGACAAAATGACAGTGACCTGAAAGAGTAAAGTTTCAGACCAGCAAATCAAAACAATGAACTGAAAGTTGCTAGGAAGGTACACAAAGTTATGTGACCCATGGTTAAAACATGTATCCAACATGACCACATTTTTCTCAACAGTAACTTAACAGATTGCTGCAATAAGAGACTGGTTTTAGTAGAGATGCTGAGGATGGTACAAATATTTTTTCCCTTCCTTCAGTGTTCCACACCTTTAAAACTCTTTCAAAGCAAAATACACACATTTGCATTTCATATTCTTTAATATGTATCTACAGAACACACTGGCTGCCTCCCTCTGTCTTTGCCTACACATTGCTTACACACTGACATGCATGTACACAGTGTCACGATTCCTAATCTAATCAAGTCACCGTGAGCTGAGTCATAACACCTTGCAGGCCTCTCTCCCACACATAGTCACACACACCTCTCTGATTGTCTCCTGAGCCATGCTCCATCACGCCACCACAAACACCACACCACACTGATTTCCACAAGCCAGGCGGAAGGAGAGGAGAGCGAAGATGGGTTAACGTCGTTACCGAGATGGGAAGTGTTTGATTCTGGGGGTCGTGATGGCTTCCAGATGTTTCTAACTGTAGCTTTGGTGAGACGCTGATATGTGGAAGAACTGTTTACTACTTCAGAGAGAGTTTTGTGTGTGTGTGTGTGTGTGTGTGTGTGTGTGAGACAGTCCGAGAGCAAAGAAGCAATAACAGAGTGACCTTCATGTCTATGATCAGATTTCTGGTATTAAATATATCCCGCTGCGATGTCATTACTGTGGATATAGAGAGGGCCCCTGCTAATCTCAACACACACACACATACCAACACACACACATACTCACACAAGAACAAGTTTCCCAATTTGTGTGTAGTTGTGTGTAAATCCAATGTACTCACACATTCAAAACAGGTGCTAAAACTACTAAATGTGTTACCGTAGCTGATGATGTAACATGTTTTACGTAAGCGTTAAAAAGAGATTATCAAAACTAAATGACAGTTGATGACAATTTTGATAACATGCAGCAGGCTCAGCATGCAGCTGCAGAGAGGAAGCGAGGTGACGAGCCAAAATCCTAATACTTTGCCGGACTACAGACTGTACTGTGTGTCTGGGTGTGTGTAGCTGTGTGTAGATGTGTGTGTGTGTGTGTGTGTGTGTCTAGACCAGGAATGTGTGCGCACATTGTGAAGCTTGCACTGTGTTTGTGTGTGTCTGACACTATTTGCATGAGAAACATGGGTGGATTATCTGAAGCGCGCTGTGTGAATGTGGGACATGTGTGCTCGTGTGTTTGTATCCTTGTGAGGACCATGTTGAGTGTCAGGATCAAGACATACATACAGTTTAGATCAGCTGACTAATTTAGTAGTGGACTGACAAAAAATTAATAGACAAAACAAGTGTGTGATTTTTTTTTTTAGCTGGATTGCCAACGTCACCTCATTGCAGCTTCTAAAATGTGGGGATTTTGCTGGTTTAGTTTGCGTTATGTGATAATAAACTGAATATCTTTAGCTTTTGGAAAGTAGGTGAGACAAAACAGGCAGTTTGAAGACGTGATCTCAGGCTTTAGAGAATTGTCAATGTGATGTTTCCTTATTTATTGATGTTATATAGACCAAATGATAAAAGGTATACTATACAGGATGCTGAGTTACTGTTTGTAAACTTGCTCACAAGCAAAAGTGAAAGTACAAGATGATATGCTTTATTAATTCCTGAGAGGAACAGAGCAATTTTTTCACTCTCTTGTCATATACACCCAGGCCCAAAATACACACACATGCACAAACAGGACCTATACGTGCATCAAATGGAGAGATGTCAGAGCAAAGGGGCTGCCCATGGACAAGCGCCCCGTGCAGTTGGGGGTTTGGTGCCCTGTTCTAGTGTACCATGGCGGTGCCCAGGAGGTGGACTGGCACCTCTCCAGCTATCGGTCCAAACTCCATGTTTGGTCCAGATGGGGACTTTGGCTGGCGACCCTCCGGTTCCCAAATCAAGTCCCTATGGACTGAGCTACTGCCACCCCCAAAGCCAACCCCAGAGTCACTCTCATTTGGTGATTTATCTCGCTATATTTCCGTGTTTTTGATGCTGTGTCACTTGGATGTTTGCTGCTTATAGTCTGGCACCTGGCCGCTACCTTTTTATAAAGCCCTAACCACACCTGAACACTGTGGGGGTACACAACCATAAACGTCCCAAACACAGACATTAAGAAAATACAGGCAGAGGGCAAAGTCTCTGCAGAAAAATACACTACCACACACCTCTAGTGGGTCATAAGTGATGGCAGAGAGGGATTACTTCTGTATGAGTGTATACATTGTGTTTTAGGAAAATCCTGTCTAGCATATCTTTAAGGCTACAGAAAGTCTTATGCCGCTGAAAGTCCTCACAAGTATGGAGGTACAAACCTATTTGTTTGTGTGTATGTCTAGACCACTCTATCACCCCTTGGTGATGTGTGTTTAGCATCTTCTGTGAATCCACCTGAGTCAGGAGCAAATCCATTTGCATCAAAGCTAACACTGAGCTAACACTAACACCAAACACCATCTCCTCTCAAATCTTTGTTTCTGTCTCTCTTCGGACAAATAACCACGCACATCAGACATCTAACTTTTCAGCCTCAACTATCTTCAATTCATGATGCACACAGCAGAGCAGAATATGTTGGTTTATTCCTAAATAGGTACATCTGCAGTAAGTCAGAAAAATGTGGAGATGACTGTTTGCAGTGACACATAAATGCTTACATGCACAAATGCATGTGTGTGTATGTGCCTGCTAAATGCATGCATACACACACACACACACAGAAAGCCACAAGGACACAGATGGCCACTGCCCAAGGCCTCTTTCTAACGCATGAGCACACGCTTGCAGTTAGCCCGAATATACAAACGTGCACTTTCTCCCCCATTCACATTTGGGTTTCATAAGTGGAACATGGGAAAGAGAGATCACAGAGAAAGAAGAGAGGAGGACAGTCTGAGGGTTTAACATAGATATGAGCCCACAGACAGAATAATGCATTGTTATGAGGAAGGGAAGAAGGCCAATAATGCTAAAGTGAAGCGTTAGTCAGAAATCTGCTTGATTTCAACACACTTACTATCTTGACTCGGTGCCCCGGCGTGGCTGTGATGTCCCAGGTGCACTCCTTACGGCTGGGATACTTGTCTGGCCAGTTAGGGCTGCTCAGCGTCCCACTGGGGCTGTGGATCTTATGCTCACACTCAGCTGAACACACATATCCACACACACACACACACACACACACATTATTTCTCTATAATCTCCTATAACACACACTTACACATTTGCATTTAACACAATAAACTGTGTATGTCCTCCACCTTCACAGCACTTTGCTCTCCACACTCCAGATATACAGAAGAGGAAGTGTGTGTTCAGATATGTCTGGGAAAACGCACACAAATGAGTTTTTGTGTATCTGTGGATGTGTAAGCATGTGTTCATGTATCTCTGAGAGCAGCTACAAAAATGACACACAAACACACATGCACCATTGACACCCTATCTCACACACAGACTACATTTCCCATGTTTTTTGTTGTGTTTTTTTTTTAAACAATAAAACCATTCAAGGTCTCCAAACAAATAAAATATGCTGCCAAAAAACCTTGAAAACACTCCGCTGACACAAGAGCATCGATATACATTTTGGTTCTAAGGCAATATTGTAGTTCCACAGGACTAGTGCTGTTGATGCAGTGTGCTGTTCGCACGCCGACTGTGTCTCCTATTTCCAACCACAGTCGCCTGTCATTCAGTGTATTCTTATGTGTTAGCACCATGGGAATCTCTCCTTCAATCAGAATTGTGTCACTCCGAGAGACAGCTGTGAAAATATTCCTTTCCAATATCCACTTTTTTGGGAGCGGGGCTGAGGTGGAAACTGGAAACATCCACGAAAGTTTGTTACAAGATGGTGCAAACTCAAGAAACAGCATGGACACACACACAACATAATGCAAGGCTTAACATTAACATCACAGATCATTTGGAAATTCTCCATTTGCATTTTTTTTTCTCCCCATTCCACGATGGTTGTCTGCATAAGCTTTAAGCAAAAAGGGCAAATGACGGACTTCAGCCTTTTGTTTGTTCTTTTTTTTTTCTCTGTACACACAGACACACATACAGTAAACACAACGGGTTTTACAATAAGACATGAAATAAAATCATCTGCAGCCGTTCTGAGCTGGGTTGCAGTTCCCAGGCATCAAAGGCAATAAAAATGTCTACTCAGAGTTTCCTCTCAGTTACTGTGGATATGAGCAGCTGTCTGATCACAGTACGTCGCACAGTCCAAGGAGTCAGACGAGACTCTGAACTCCCCAGGTGGATGCATTTTTCTTTTTAAGTAGAAGCTCTTCAGTTCCTCAAGCATCCATAGTTTATAGTTCTGAATATGAGTCTGGTGTGTTTACCGGTGTGTGTGTTTGTACTCTTTTGTTTTGCCACCGTGAGTATCCACACTGAGGGTAGCTGGATGTGCAGTAATGAAAACCATCTCCTCCACAGAGATGGCTCGCTCAGTCGTCGGCATGATTCTCCACGTTTGCTGAAGCACGTATTGATATCTCAGTGTTTTTCCTGTCTCATCTCAGAGTGCGCTGACCTGTGTGGAGCCACGGAGGGAGACTAATGTTCACGTCAAGTGTTGACTTCCCCCCGCGGCTGGTGAACGTCCACAAATGTCCGCATCTGTCTGTCGGTCCGAGAAGAGGGGACAGGCTGTACTTTTCTCGTTGCCATGGTGAAGGTCAGGGTGACAGTGGCGGGGGGCTGCACAGAGGTCAGAGGTTACGGGCTGCGTGTGAGGTCATTTCCTGGTGTGAAGGCTCTCCTGGATCTTGGTGCTCGTGTAGCGGATGTGGAAGCCCTTCTTGCTGATTGTGTCGTCGCTATGGAAACGGATCAGCATCGTGCTTCCGGGCGAGTAGATCCCTTCCCTGGGCTGAGGAAGGGAAGAGGGAGACATGTGAAGCAATGTCTTAGACACTGAGAGGTTCATGTCACTGGTTTTGAATAATTCAGTCTGTTAACTACAAATCAAATAGAGTTTACATCACAGGTTAGGTGTGGCTTGTGTATGGGGAGTTTGTTTGTGTATTTTTCCCACCTTCCAAGAAAAGTTTCCATTAATTATGTGTGAACATCGACTGGAAATTTTGAGCTTTGTCATCTTCATTGGCCATTTTTCTACTTTGAGTACTTTTATTTTTTTATTCTGTAAAGGAACAGTTCACCCCCAAAGCAAAATACATGTTTCCCTCTTATCTGTGGTGCCATTTGTCAGTCTAGATTGTTTTGGTGTGAGATGCTGAGCAATACAGATGTTTATCGTCTCTAAAATATAATGGAACTAGATGGCACTCAGCCTGTGGTACTCTTTCCAGAAATCATGACCTGGTTACTCAAGATAATCCACAGACCTTGCTGTGAGCAGTTTCATGTAGGAACTATTTGCTTTCTAATAATCTGCACCTGCCAACCACATCACCGCGCAGAAGGAAGAGTGCATCTACTGGTGTAGCTCTGTAATTTTTTTTTTTTTTTAGCTCTTTGAGCACCACTAGCCGAGTGCCATCTACTTCAATTACATTCAGAAGAAGGCTGACATCTTTACAACCAATGTCTCCAACGCTCGGCAACTCAAACTAAAACAATAAATGACTGATAAATAGTACTACAGGTAAGAGGAAAAACATGTTTGATTTGGGTATGAAATGTCCCTTTAAGCACATTTTGCTAATAACATGTTGTTGGTGGTTTTTTTTTGCATTTTTACTTAAGTAACATTGTCAGTGCTTTTACTTGTATTGGAGTAATTTATCTGTTATCTGACCGCTTTGTATCCTTCACAATGAAAATCTAGTCTGCATTAATTTTTCTCAAAGTTATATTGTTATGAGGTAATGCAAGGTAGACTTTTATTATAAATCTTAACTGCTTAACCACTAGGGCATGTGTTTTATACAAGTCTCAAAAAAATACCCAAATGTCAGTGTTGACACCTAAGAAATAAAAAACTTTTTATCATCATAGTTTAAGAAATATAAATACATTCTTCTACAAAATTCTTTTTAATTTTTTTTTGTAAATAAAATATCTGATGGCATCAGTGATTCATATTGACACAAGCAGCTGTACAAAAACCTTGCATTAACAAAAAATAAAATTCAAAATGATGATAATGATTATGATTAAATCAGGAAATATCTGCATCTCATGTTCTGTATACTGAGATAGGTCACACGACTCTATGAAAGCAAGAGTCTGTTATGACATATTCATACTAAATGAATAGAAAGGAATGGCCATCTGGAATGGATGATGGAAAGTAAAATGAAAAAATTGAAAGTATTCAGCAGGCATTCAAAAGTTGTCAGTAAAAATCCAAAGTATACATTATTTTATTCTGTATTTTTCCGACTGTCAACAGATTCTATGAAAAGGCCAAAAAGATTATTTTTTGGCCGTTTTTAAGTCCAAACCAAACCCTGGGCCGCTCCAAGGGACCCAGCCTACATGGGGCACACACTCTATCAGGTGAGCTAGAGGTCACCCCAGTCCTTCTCTCTTTACTTTCTGTCTTCTGTCTCCTGTCAAACCCACTGGTTCAGTGGAGGTTTAAGTAAATGTGGCTCAAATGGGACTCAATAGTGTGTTTCCTGGGGACTAAATTCATCTGCAGATTTATACACATTTGGAGCTCTGCTGCGTATTCACTGCAGCAGGATGGTGACTGTGGGATTAACTCAAAATAAACTACTGTGCTCATAATCATTGTATCACCCAGTGCATGAGTGTGGTTCACTGATGTAATTTTAGACACAGCAATGGAGGAATTAAATATTTCAGGCTTTGGTTACACAAGCAATATTTACTAGTGAAATCAGTTCATTGATGGTTTTGGTCTTTGGTCTAGTTGCCCCACCAAAGATGAAATATGAGTCATTGAAAAGAAGATATAATCTTACCCCTGAACCGCAGAAGCGACCGAGTCGATGTGAGTTGGCATCGTACCCATTGTACAGCTCGATGTAGTCATAACCACAGTCAGCTTCCTCCTCTACCTCAAAGGTAATGAAGGTCAACTCGATGCCATAACCCTGCTCGGCTGTCAGCAGCCACTCACAGTCAGTGTGACCTGGGTAATTATTGTCTCCAAACTGGGCGTGAGAGTAGAGGTTCTTCTGACGAACTTCTGGCTTTAGGCGACCTCCACATTCTGCAGAGAGACAAGGAAAGAGTAAAACTTTAATCTGAAATTAGGCCTCTGTTAGACTTTGTTGTCTCAGGTCAGATGGCATGACTCTCATCTTGCATGTGCTGCTATGAACCACTAGAGGGAGATATTGCTCTTAAAAAACTATTCTGACGTGAGAAATCAAAGCTGGTGACTGAGTGATGCTCTTTGCAGTCACAAGAACTCACTCACAGTGAGATATTATCACAAACATACACAAACACTACAACATGCTTCCACACTGACACACACCTGTGGAGTGTGTAGCTTGGAAGCCCTTTCTTTGTACTGAGGCGTCAGAAATGAAGCGGAGGTACATCTTGTTGCCGGTGGAGACCAGCTGCTCCGGGATCTTGCTGCCACACAGTCGGCCCAAGATGGCTGCCGTGTCACTGTCCCCGTCAAAGGCCTCGAGGTGGTCATATGCACATTCCTGATGCTGCTCGATCTCAAACTCATTGAAGGCCTGGAAAGGTAGAAGCGGAGAGACAGAGAGGGTGAGAGGTCGCTGAGAGAGATGTGAGTGGGTGTTGAAAGATTAACTGTTGACCTCACTGTCCACAGCTTTTATAGGGGGCTACTTCTTTGTTAGAAAGCAATTCTAGTGAAAACTTGTGAAGCTGGGGTCCCTGGAAGTTGGTGAACTCTGACATTCGAATTCAACTTCAACTTTATTGTGCCCAGTGGGAAATTTGTCGTGCAGCCTGATCAAAAACACAGAATATACAGAGACATAGAGACACAGACTCAACAACATTAAGTGCCACCAGACCTATGCCAGCAAAAACCAGCATCGTCACCCCACAGTAGTTAAATGGGAAACTAATCATCAGTTGGGTCAGTTGGGATCTCAATTTCTTCATGTAGAGGATGAAGAGGACACTCTAAAATAGCTCAAATAGATTATCTCTGTCTGCACGGGATGATCTGTAGCCCCTCCTCGTTCTGTGCAGAAAAGCAGTTTAGTTTTGTGGTGAAGTAATTAAGCAAAATTTAGAGACTGTCAAACTCAGTGGTAGACTGCTTCATCTAATTACTGTAAAATACAGTGTGTGGATGCTGTGAGTTTTCTTGGTGATGTTCTTATTGGTTCACAGGAATCACAACTAAGTTACAAACATTTAAAGGAGAAGAGTGAATTGGAAAGAGACTGATGAGAGTTTCCTTTGTTGGAGCCCGTGTTGTAATGTGTGAGTCATTCTCTAAATTCAGATCTGACCTTTTTATAAAAGCAACAAAGCACACCTGAGTTTAGACTAAATGTAGCTGATGGAGAAGCTAGAAAACAAACTTAAGCTCAGCAACAAGTCGAAATTAAATCTGCAATATCTGAATTTTTGGCACCTAGGGGGTGGTGGAAACAAACTTTATACAACACTGATATATTATGCCACCTTTTAGGAAGATATGGTGAACTCATCAGCAAAGAGATGCTAATTTCCACGTCCAGCAGTTACAGAGCAACATTGTAATTCATGTGGCATTGTGTTTCCTGCCACCTGATGAATCTAACTCTTTTTTTAGCTCTGTCTTGGTCTCCACCAGTGTTCAGGTTACTGACAATTAATAGTCACAATTAATAGTTACTTCTCAAAGTATTAAAATTACTTTACCACTTATATAAAAGTAATGAGTTAATAGCAAAAGTAACTCTTGCTTTACTAAACATCTGGTTCAATTCTCTTATTAATGTATACATATCTATGTTATATTCATGTTGCTGTGGAACACTGTGGGACAAGACAGCTGTCAGATTCTGTCAAATCAAATATCATGTAATTTTTTCCTTCATTTATTTTCTGTCGTGGCTTATCCTGTTAGGGGTCGCGGGAGGGCTGGAGCCTATCCCAGCTGACACTGGGCAAGAGGCAGGGTACACCCTGGACAGGTCGCCAGACTATCACAGGGCTGACACATAGAGACAGACAACCATTCACACTCACATTCACACCTATGGACAATTTAGAGTCACCAGTTAACCTGCATGTCTTTGGACTGTGGGAGGAAGCTGGAGTACCCAGAGAAAACCCACAATGACGGTGGGAGAACATGCAAACTCTGCACAGAGGGGCTCCACGTCAGTTTTTAAGTTTCTTATTATTCTTGTATCTATGTATCTTATTCCATTCTTTGTTAACAACAGAGCATCACCATAGCAACATATTGTAATGACTATTTCATTTTTCCCGTGCCATCCAGGAGGTGTTTGTCTACCATCTTTTTGAATCAATGTGAAGGCAGCATAATTCTGATCGACTGATTCCCGTAATTCATCACGCCACCCGAGGTTTGGTGAATTTAGTTCATAACCCAGAAAAAATCTGGGGGATCGGCTGCGTTTGTGTGCTATAATCAAGATAAAAGTAACAAGTAATGAGCCCATTTAAACTTCAATACGTTCACCAGCCGGTCACTGAGTTTGTGAAGGCAGCACACAGTGAGTTTTTAGAGCTTTTCATCTGGAAACATCTGCCTGTTGTGGCAAAATGACAAAATGACAGTGACCTGAAAGAGTAAAGTTTCAGACCAGCAAATCAAAACAATGAACTGAAAGTTGCTAGGAAGGTACACAAAGTTATGTGACCCATGGTTAAAACATGTATCCAACATGACCACATTTTTCTCAACAGTAACTTAACAGATTGCTGCAATAAGAGACTGGTTTTAGTAGAGATGCTGAGGATGGTACAAATATTTTTTCCCTTCCTTCAGTGTTCCACACCTTTAAAACTCTTTCAAAGCAAAATACACACATTTGCATTTCATATTCTTTAATATGTATCTACAGAACACACTGGCTGCCTCCCTCTGTCTTTGCCTACACATTGCTTACACACTGACATGCATGTACACAGTGTCACGATTCCTAATCTAATCAAGTCACCGTGAGCTGAGTCATAACACCTTGCAGGCCTCTCTCCCACACATAGTCACACACACCTCTCTGATTGTCTCCTGAGCCATGCTCCATCACGCCACCACAAACACCACACCACACTGATTTCCACAAGCCAGGCGGAAGGAGAGGAGAGCGAAGATGGGTTAACGTCGTTACCGAGATGGGAAGTGTTTGATTCTGGGGGTCGTGATGGCTTCCAGATGTTTCTAACTGTAGCTTTGGTGAGACGCTGATATGTGGAAGAACTGTTTACTACTTCAGAGAGAGTTTTGTGTGTGTGTGTGTGTGTGTGTGTGTGTGTGAGACAGTCCGAGAGCAAAGAAGCAATAACAGAGTGACCTTCATGTCTATGATCAGATTTCTGGTATTAAATATATCCCGCTGCGATGTCATTACTGTGGATATAGAGAGGGCCCCTGCTAATCTCAACACACACACACATACCAACACACACACATACTCACACAAGAACAAGTTTCCCAATTTGTGTGTAGTTGTGTGTAAATCCAATGTACTCACACATTCAAAACAGGTGCTAAAACTACTAAATGTGTTACCGTAGCTGATGATGTAACATGTTTTACGTAAGCGTTAAAAAGAGATTATCAAAACTAAATGACAGTTGATGACAATTTTGATAACATGCAGCAGGCTCAGCATGCAGCTGCAGAGAGGAAGCGAGGTGACGAGCCAAAATCCTAATACTTTGCCGGACTACAGACTGTACTGTGTGTCTGGGTGTGTGTAGCTGTGTGTAGATGTGTGTGTGTGTGTGTGTGTGTGTCTAGACCAGGAATGTGTGCGCACATTGTGAAGCTTGCACTGTGTTTGTGTGTGTCTGACACTATTTGCATGAGAAACATGGGTGGATTATCTGAAGCGCGCTGTGTGAATGTGGGACATGTGTGCTCGTGTGTTTGTATCCTTGTGAGGACCATGTTGAGTGTCAGGATCAAGACATACATACAGTTTAGATCAGCTGACTAATTTAGTAGTGGACTGACAAAAAATTAATAGACAAAACAAGTGTGTGATTTTTTTTTTTAGCTGGATTGCCAACGTCACCTCATTGCAGCTTCTAAAATGTGGGGATTTTGCTGGTTTAGTTTGCGTTATGTGATAATAAACTGAATATCTTTAGCTTTTGGAAAGTAGGTGAGACAAAACAGGCAGTTTGAAGACGTGATCTCAGGCTTTAGAGAATTGTCAATGTGATGTTTCCTTATTTATTGATGTTATATAGACCAAATGATAAAAGGTATACTATACAGGATGCTGAGTTACTGTTTGTAAACTTGCTCACAAGCAAAAGTGAAAGTACAAGATGATATGCTTTATTAATTCCTGAGAGGAACAGAGCAATTTTTTCACTCTCTTGTCATATACACCCAGGCCCAAAATACACACACATGCACAAACAGGACCTATACGTGCATCAAATGGAGAGATGTCAGAGCAAAGGGGCTGCCCATGGACAAGCGCCCCGTGCAGTTGGGGGTTTGGTGCCCTGTTCTAGTGTACCATGGCGGTGCCCAGGAGGTGGACTGGCACCTCTCCAGCTATCGGTCCAAACTCCATGTTTGGTCCAGATGGGGACTTTGGCTGGCGACCCTCCGGTTCCCAAATCAAGTCCCTATGGACTGAGCTACTGCCACCCCCAAAGCCAACCCCAGAGTCACTCTCATTTGGTGATTTATCTCGCTATATTTCCGTGTTTTTGATGCTGTGTCACTTGGATGTTTGCTGCTTATAGTCTGGCACCTGGCCGCTACCTTTTTATAAAGCCCTAACCACACCTGAACACTGTGGGGGTACACAACCATAAACGTCCCAAACACAGACATTAAGAAAATACAGGCAGAGGGCAAAGTCTCTGCAGAAAAATACACTACCACACACCTCTAGTGGGTCATAAGTGATGGCAGAGAGGGATTACTTCTGTATGAGTGTATACATTGTGTTTTAGGAAAATCCTGTCTAGCATATCTTTAAGGCTACAGAAAGTCTTATGCCGCTGAAAGTCCTCACAAGTATGGAGGTACAAACCTATTTGTTTGTGTGTATGTCTAGACCACTCTATCACCCCTTGGTGATGTGTGTTTAGCATCTTCTGTGAATCCACCTGAGTCAGGAGCAAATCCATTTGCATCAAAGCTAACACTGAGCTAACACTAACACCAAACACCATCTCCTCTCAAATCTTTGTTTCTGTCTCTCTTCGGACAAATAACCACGCACATCAGACATCTAACTTTTCAGCCTCAACTATCTTCAATTCATGATGCACACAGCAGAGCAGAATATGTTGGTTTATTCCTAAATAGGTACATCTGCAGTAAGTCAGAAAAATGTGGAGATGACTGTTTGCAGTGACACATAAATGCTTACATGCACAAATGCATGTGTGTGTATGTGCCTGCTAAATGCATGCATACACACACACACACACAGAAAGCCACAAGGACACAGATGGCCACTGCCCAAGGCCTCTTTCTAACGCATGAGCACACGCTTGCAGTTAGCCCGAATATACAAACGTGCACTTTCTCCCCCATTCACATTTGGGTTTCATAAGTGGAACATGGGAAAGAGAGATCACAGAGAAAGAAGAGAGGAGGACAGTCTGAGGGTTTAACATAGATATGAGCCCACAGACAGAATAATGCATTGTTATGAGGAAGGGAAGAAGGCCAATAATGCTAAAGTGAAGCGTTAGTCAGAAATCTGCTTGATTTCAACACACTTACTATCTTGACTCGGTGCCCCGGCGTGGCTGTGATGTCCCAGGTGCACTCCTTACGGCTGGGATACTTGTCTGGCCAGTTAGGGCTGCTCAGCGTCCCACTGGGGCTGTGGATCTTATGCTCACACTCAGCTGAACACACATATCCACACACACACACACACACACACACACACAAACACGCAAGCACACACATAGAGAGGAAGTTAAAATCATGGCTGCGCAGGAAAAGGTCAGAGGAAATGGAAAGGGAACAGGAAGGAGAGAAACGAGAGAACCAAACGAGAGAGAAAAGATTTCAAAGAAACACATCCTGATGACAAGTTCAGTGTGAATTTCACATGGACGCATGCACGCATGCTTTAGACAAACACACTGCTGCAGTTAGCCTTCTGTACTTCGCATGGATGGAGTATAGTATATATCATATATCTATATATATCTCTAGTAGTACAAATCCATTACTAACATTATCTAAAGGTGATATTAATGTTATTATTCTTAAAGTCATTTGAACCTTGAATATGATCAAAATTCATTCAAGTAAAAGTGAAAATCTATCATACAATCTCTATCTTTTTGTGCTTTTAGTTACAAAATACAGTATTCATTGCAAACACTTGCAGGCCACAGTTACAAGATTTTTAATCCCTTTTAAAATTCAGGGTCCATTCTGGATGAGTTCAGCAATGACAGTCAAGAGAGAAATAAAAGAAGCAGACATGGAGATGGAGAAATGTAACAAATACAGACGTTCCAATACATTGTACAAGGGGTTTCTGAATGATTTGATGAGTATTGAAATGATGTGTGTAATATGCTTTGGCCTTCACAGTAACCAAATCTCAACCCAACTGAATGCTACAGCTCTGATTTGCACCTCTATCTGGGGTTTTCTCAAAAGCAACAAATGAGCTTCTGTTTGTGCTGTATCTTTCCGGAGAGTTCAAGTTAAGCAAGTCATTTGAGACAAGTCCAAGTGAAGTGTCAGGTCTCTCAGAATTAAGCCTAACACCAAACAACTTTTCAAGAAATTTCACAGTCACATAAATTTCAAATGTGGCAAGAAATTCATTAGAGTTTTGGTGATGTCGTGGTGCGCTCCAGTGATCTCGATCGTTTGGTATAACGTGGTCATAATCTAAGTATGAGCTATCTTAGGTCTGACTTTTTCTCAACGCGATGTTCCAACAAAATCAAGTTTTTTATTACTATCGGTAAGTTCTTTGTCTTGGCTCATGCAGTTCAATGATGTGAACATTGTCAATAACCAATAGCTGCGCTCTCTCCTGCACCAGCAAGAAGCAGCAAACTAGGTCGCCAGTAAACATGGAGGATACTCTGTGGAGGCGCAGGAATATGAACAAGTCTTGGTTCTCTTGGACTTTGGAAAAGGAGGAAAAACTGGTCTCCTCTCACTAAAATACCAGCAGGCTGGTAACAAGTTGAAGCCACAAAATCCAAAACTGTAGCATTTGTACTTAAATACAGTTTATCTTTATTGATTCTATTGATGCTGAATTGACAAGAATACTTTAGACATATGACCCTACAAGATTCCCAGTCTTTTTGCGAAATCTTATAGTGTGTAAGTAAAAACTCACATTGTCTTCAGACGTGAGAGAGTGTCAGACTTCAGTCTCTTAAAAATCTTGTAGTGTATGGTAGGCAAGTCCTTCAGGGCAGGTTGAAGTCAAGTCAAAGAATAAACCTCTAGGACCTGCAGCTTTGCCCACAGTGATACACAGTGATTACAGGGGCAGTTACTCAGTAGTCAAGATGTATGCATTAATTGTTCTATTTAACAACTGCTGATTAATAATTATTGGTGTAAATGCACCCAAGTTCGACAGAAGTCTATTATTGACTTGTTAGTTAGATTAGTTAGATTTGTTAGTTACTCCCAGGCTCTGCACTTCTAAACAACAGCAACATATTTCACTGACTATAACTCTTATATTGTACATGACAACACACCAGCTGTGGGCTGATATTAACTGTGTAGCAGAAGTGTTTCTGGTTTAAAGTGCCGACTGCTTTTCTCCCTCAGACTTTGGATTAGTCAAAATAAAAGAACCTAACAATATCCACAGCAGCCCTGAGTCACACATGGCATGTTTTTTTGTATGTGTGGTGTGAGTTAAATGAATGTCTTAACAAAGGTGATGGGAGGCAGGAGGCATGCACAGGACAACAGAATGAATTCCAGAGTGACAGATTTTATTTAGAGTCAGACAAACTGAACCCACGTACAGAATGAGATGGATTGATTTACAAGAACAATGTATAAACGTAAAGGAGAGTCTTCTAACAGGCAAAGTCTTGAATACACACGTCACAGTCCACACACACTACTGTTACAGGAGACCCTCACATCTTTTACAAAAGCTAACTACTGACATGACACAGATTTAAGCTCTGACAATAAACTGTGATGTCTGACATAGCCAACTATCTTTTCACATTATTGTAGTTAACAGCAAATGTAACAGATTTCATTACCACAGCTTCATAATGTCACCAGTAATTAAGTAAATAACCCAACAATTTCAAGTTTAACAGATGTCATGCTCTCATAAAAAAAAAGTTAAAATGAGATCCCTGAGATCAGAAAGAAAACTGACTGTAAGTTTTATAACTTTCTTGCTGGTGTCTCATAGTGTCACACACTCCTGGCATCACAAAAAAGTGATGCTTATATCATCCAACATGTTAAGAGCACATGTCACGCTATCCAAATGTCCATCTCCACATGTTAAAACTCTCATACGCACATGCTTTATGTACGCACATAACCCCACATAACCACACACACACACACGGACACAAGCTGTGTGCTGGGAATATGGATTTACATGACACTGCAAGGTCACTGGGTCAAGCTGGTCTAATGCACACATAAACACACACGCACACATGCACACACGCAGGAAGACAGCGCGACATGCGAAGCTTTCAAGCTTCCAGATGTTTGAAACATGAGTGTTTTTATGAGCAGCACAGGGAGCCTTTAGTGAGGTGCGCGTGTGTGTTGATGTGGTGTGTGTGTGTACACGTTCAAAAGTTCAACTTCAAAGAGCTGAGTATAATATGTCAGTTCAACAGTTGTGTATGTCTCTCTTTGTGCGTGTGTGTGTGTGTGTACATGTGGGAATGTGCTAATAGCTTTTAATAAATAGTGTTTTCGGTCAAACCGGGACCTTTTCCCCTCCCTGTGTCTTGTTTCTCACACACAAACACAAACACACATCACAGTGAACACAGCCTCAGTGATTTGCAGGCAGAGCTGTTTTTTTTTTCTTTTCAAGTCTCATGCAGCAAGTTCAAGTTAAGTCTCAAGTTGGTCAGGATAACAGACTTAGTCCCAACTCCTGGACCACAGACCTTGTCACAAAACAAATGTTATATGACTTATATATTATTTATAGCTGTATAGGCTCTCTCTCTTGTAATTACCTTGCACTTAATGTGGCCTATTTGTGCTGCGATTTTGCACCTTTCAGGTAAGTCCAAGTCATATGAGACAAGTCTAAGTGTCGCAGAGCAAGTCACAGCTCACCATAACGAAATTTCAAGTCAAGGATGAAAATCACTCCAGTATCTGAATGCTGAGCGCCACAAGGACACAGCAGTTGAACATTTTGCTTATAAACTGTGTTAATAGCCGCCAACAAGTCATTTTAATGCACAGGACTAAAGTAATATCTATTTATGTTGTCAAGCCCTTGCTCAATATATTATTTGCTTTTTTATGATTTAACCAGAGGGGTGCAACGTGAAGTTCAACAGAGCCAGAGTCTCTTTGCTTGAGCTGGCTCTACAAACCCTAAAGCCTCAGTCACAAGTAACAGGGTACCACAAAGGTGTTTATCAACTTGCTTTTTGCTTCAGGCTCTGTGCGCGATCCCATGAAACAAATTAAATGATGCATTCTGCGCATAATTTGAGTCTTAAAATTGATCAGTCGTGTGCCAAATATTTCTGCTTTTGAAGAAAATGTAAAAATTCTTACAGTAAAAAGCAACACTGTTGCTTCGATTAAGGCAAGAGAGGAATGCTGGTAGAAAATTATCAAAATCGTGCATTCACAAGTTAAAATATTCATTTTACCACATTTATTTCTAACGTGACAGCTGCACATTGTGCAGCTCTGAAAATTTAAACTTAATGCAGCAGATTTATACTCAAGAACTGTATTTGCATACACTGACACTGTCCCATAATGACGGATACATGGAAATCACTTTAGTTTGTGGGCAAACCAAAGTGAAATATATGTTAGTGATTTAACCTATCTTTGATAAATATGATTACACTAAATAATTTTCTAACAGTGCTCATTCAGCTATTATATATCTGCAGTGTAAAACTGATTTGAGCAAATCAGGACGAAGCGTAAAAACATAATTTAAGTGGTAGCATTGTGGTTTGAAGGAATTATACAGCCTTTCAAATTAAAGTATATGTCGTACTGAATAGTAATATAGTAAACTATTAAGGTATAATGTTACTTGCAGTTTTCTTTCAGAGCCAATGTGGGAAAATGGACCAGAGAGCACTACAAACACAGTGCATTTAGTGAGAGCAACAACAACCTTGTGTAAATAATAAAACTGTGTTCTTGCTCAGATTTTCTGCATCACTGATGCTGCAGGTTCCTGTGGTAACAACATCAAAAATGTAGCATGACACATGCAGTAAGTGCTGAATGTAATGTCATGGCTCAACAAGTTGGATTAAGCGTATTTATAACATATTCCCTCAGCTGTATCACTTGTAGATTCACACTGATTATAGAGTGACACTATTCAATGAGCTGTGAAAGGTGCTTTTTAGATGATTTCCATCTAAAACTTGAAATAAAAAATGGTCAGGTTAAAAGAGAGCCACCTTCCTAGGACAGAAAACTTCAGGCTCAACATACCTTGTTAACCCACTAATGTTGCTTCATGGTGCAGCCCTCTGGTCAAAACCTGGGACATGAATGTCTTTAAGTCAAATCATGTTTAGTTTTCACCTTTGTAACTTAATATGACAACTGCCTGTGTCTTAGGCCTCAAATCGACAGCTCTGCTTGCAGGCACCAAGTGTGGAGATTTATGTATGTAAAGACTCTCCTCAAATAGACAGGACCAGTCTGTTGTCATGAGGACTCTGGTGTGGGTAAACAGTGTAAGGGCTGTATGATGGACGATGACTGTTCTTGTGAATGAGCACATGCTTGTGTGAATGTGGCAGCACATGCATGTGCACTCCAGTGCCTTTATGCCAGTGTGTGTGCTGATGTGAATGTACGTGAAACCCACCTTCCTTACAGTCATGTTTGTTCTCATGCAGTACAAAGCCATGGCGACACTGACAAACGTACGAGCCCACTGTGTTGATGCACTCGTGCTGGCAGCCGCCGTTGTCCTTGCTGCACTCATCTTTGTCTGTGAGAGATACACATGCAACACATCACTCATGAGGAAACAGCAAAAAAAAAGGACGAGGTGGAGGGAGGCAAGAGGTCAAGCGGGGGAGAGGAGTGGAGAAATGAAACCTTCAGGAAGGGGAGTTTTTAAGGAAAGGAGTGAGGGACAGACAGCAGGGAAAAGGTGAAGAAACAAACAGTGATATAAAGATAGGATCAGATGTAAATCGAATTAGTGAAAGAAGGTAAGGTCAACAAAAAAATACAAAGAAGTACAAAGAAGAGAAGGTGGCAAAGACAAACATGAACATGAATATCCAGCGATCATGCTCGGCAAACATGATCGCCCACAACTGTAAGACTGCACAATACTGTTCATACTTCACCTGCCAAGTTAAAAGTTTTTATCACAGGGCTAAGAGTTAAAGCAAAGAGAGACGGACTATTGACCACTAAACCCCTCTCCCAAACAGCGAAGGTGCCATGCCATTGTTCAAACAGCCCATTATTTCAAAACCCCAGTGGTTCAAAAAAGGTCTCACTGGACCAAAAGCCTATTTTTCTGACAGGCTGTTATCCTAAAACAAACGCTGATTGCTCCAAAAATACACACTCTCCCTGCAGTTAGAAAGATTCATAGCCTGCAATCAGTCAGCCCTGCTTCCTGACGTTTCTCACCCTCTTTCCCCAGTTGATTGGGAGCAGTCTCACTCCCAGTTTGTCAAAAACCAACGCTTGGTCAGTGGCCCTCTGCATCTGATACTGACACACAGAGGTACCCTTTATGAGTCACAGTATAAAGAGCAAGAACATCTACATGGGGTGGGGAGGAAGGGAGGTGGATGGGTCAAACACACTCTGGACTTTCACCTCAGAGGCCTCTGTTCATAGCACCGTGTGAAACTACAAGTCAATCAACTTATTTTAATAACTCTGTAGTGTGCTAGTACATGTAGCTTACTACACTTGTGGCCTATGTCACGTGACGTTACATTACATTAGTAACAAATGTACTTATTTAAAGCCAAAACATGTGCTTTCATTGCCTGATCCTAAGGAAGTAATCTTAAAAATGAAGTGTTTTACTTTCATTTTAAGTTTATTTTGAAAGGAAACTGGACATTTCCAGTGAAAACAGGAGGTTTTTTTTGAAAAAACTCAATGCATGTAATGAACGGAAATTGCCAACCTGTTCCTGAACATCCAACACCAATGCTGTCAGTATTTGATGAGTTGGGACCAGGGGTCGCGTTAACCGGATATTCTCGGTCATTGACTGGTTTTTTACAACAATGACTGGAAAATCTGAAGGCCGTCGGTCATTTTGACCGGTTGCAATTACCACCCCTGCCCACTTGGCAGCGGGGTGCACAGTCAGTGGTTTAAGTGGCTGCCGTTTTCACACTGCAGAGAAAAAGTCATTCATCTGCTTCATATAGCATTGTTAACATAACGGCCTGGACACACCAGATGCGGTAGTGCCGCGGAAGTCCTGCGAGTATACTCGCAGGTGCTTGACTGTCCACACAGGCAGCGCATTTCTCCACATCGACTCCACTCGTCTGTTACCGTCAGTACTCGTTTTTTCACATCAACAGGTCGTTTTAAACATTGGTAAGTCCATATTTTAATCGTTTTTTATAACGTAATAAGTTAATGACAATTTGTTATTGCATGTCCATGTATTGAGCGTGTTGGATAAACACTGAATGAATAGGGCATATTGTTCTGACCATTTAATTCATGTAGTTATGTCTGTAGGCTCGGTGACACAAAATTAAAATTGTAATGAAGTGATTATGGTATTGAAACATGTGTTCAGTTATGCACTGTTGTGTTATTTTAAATTATAAACACAGTATTTTACCTCACATTTCCCGTGCTGTTGTTATTTTATTTTGAAAATTGGCCGGATTCTCTCGTCTTTTCTGTGTCCGACTTCCTGTTTGGTACGATCCACTCTATCCAGCTTGACAGAAGCGCTCGCGGCTCGCGTGAAAAATAGACCAGACGCCGAACTGAAGCGCTGCGGTGTGTGGATGTCTGTTCATCTTTTTGTTCATGTCCTTATTAATGCACACTTTATAACTTGCTTGTTGGATTTATTAAAAATGAACGAATGAAAACTAAATGTCTTTGAATATCTTTATTATCATTTAAAAACGAAAATTAAAATGACCGGTAAAAATAGATAATGACCGGATTTTTATGACCCTGTCAGTCAAAATGACCGGCGATGAAAAAGTCTAGCGCAACGTCTGGTTGGGACTGAGAATGTGTCGTGGGAGCATCTGTGTATATATGACTGTCGTAACCAGTGTCCAGTCAGCAACATCGATTTTCCTACTATGTTGAAGGCATGTCCCGCCCTCCTCTGCCTCCGATTGGCTTACCTTGGAATTCTTACATTAACCAATCTCACGCCTCTTGCCTTAATCTAACCAATCAAAGCGCCAAAGACAACAAGTACTAGCCAATCAGAGGCAGAGTAGTGAGGGTCATACCTTCGCCAAAAAAAAAAACTGGCACCCAGTAATCCAATGATGTCATTCTGCATGATAATTAGCCATGTGCTTCTGTTTGGGAGAGGGTGTATTTTTGGAGCAATGGCTGCATTTCAGAGTAATGGGTCATCAGATACATAGACATTCAGTCCAATGGGATATTTTTTAGATTATTGGGGTTTTGGAATAACAGGCTGTGATAACAATGGGAAGTCCTACATTATTTTGTGGGATTACATTTTTAAAAGAGCCCCATTCATGACCGACACATCCACTGTTTAATACAACCCACTGTGTGGAGGCACGTTCTCGATGTTACTACTGAGTATCAGAGTGTTAGCAGCTCTGTCCTGCACTTTATTGGATTTGGGGAAGTTTACACTCATTGCATAAGATAGCTTTACTTTTGCCAAAATCAATGGTTAATCCACTTCCCCACAGCCTTTTCTCTTGTAAATGTAAAACATACTTTACCAGGAACAATAAAGCATAAGTCAATCTCAGCAGTATAAAAACACTGCTGAAAGGTTAGAGGAGAGGAAGGTGTAATAAAAGAGAGAGCACTAAGAAGAGTCAAAGCAACAACGGACAGCTACAGTTAAGTTAGTGAGTGTGTGTCTGGTTCTGTTGGCCTGTAAAACCGTCTTTGTGCTGCTCTTGGGGTTCATGGTTACGGCTGCTCTGTGGTCAAACTCGACCTTGGCTCTGAAACGACTCTGATCATAGCAGCTGTTTTCGGATCAGCTGTGCTCCCCTCTGATGAGTTCACCCGGCCAACTGAAGAGAAACTGTAAAATGTGACGAGAGCTTCTGTCATCACGTTTGTATCTCCTGAGCCCTGTGTCATAAATCTGGAAAGATACTGGAGACCTACTTCTCTGTGAATTTTATGTTCATCTCCACAGTACATGGTATAGTATATGTGGGACGTAGCATATGTGGGACATTAAGTTGTCATGGTGATGCCTAAATGTAGACCAGAAATTCCCCCCATGAATAAACGGATAGGATTTTTGAAGCATTTTGCTCCATAAATTTGCATACAAACGAGGAGACCTGATTTTCTCGACAGTACAATATCGCCTTACTGCTGTTTATAAAATAGTTGCAGTCAATGAAATCAACTACAAAGAAATCTTCATTATCTTTTATACCAATTATTACCTATTAGCTTAGATGATTAGCTCATTAACATAACTGGTAACTGTATTTCTATGACGGTGATACGTTAACTCACTTTCAACATCACCCTGGACAAGCTGGAAGAGATATCTGAACAAAATGTCACCTCACCTCCTTTCTGATGTTTTACCAGTGGTAATTAGGCCCAACGATTGACAGCAGATTGCCAAACTGTCCCTGACTCAGACAAAACAGGGGTGCTCAGTGACTTAGTGGGTTCAGCAGGTACCCCATATACAAAGGCAATGTCCTTGCCACAGCAACTACAGGTGTGATTCCAGCCTGCACCCCTTCCTGCATGTCATTCTCTCTTTCATGCTTAAACCTATCCTATCCAATAAAGGCAAAAAAGCCCTGAAAGAGTCTAAAAGCGCTCTGTCTGATCAGGGCAGGCTTCAACAAAAAAACGCAATACACTGTGCCTCGTGTTTTGCTATTTGCAAAACGCACTCTGTCTGATCTGGTCCACAGGATTTGGGTTTTCTGCAGATTAAACAAACAGTAGATAACATGTTAATTCATGAGCTTTAGAGGTGCTAGTACATGGATTTTGTCATCTGTGGACCGAGCCAGGCTCGCTGTTTTCCCCTGCCTCCAGTCTCTGTGCTAAGCTAAGCTAATCGCATGCTAGCTGGAGCTTCACATTCACCACAGAGATCTGAGAGCGATCCTCTCTTCTCTCAGCAAGAAGGCAAATGTGCATATTTCCAAAAATGATGACTCGTTTAATAGTTTCCCACTTTGTTTTGCCTCAGTAGCTTTAAGGTTTCTGAACTCTTATTCCACACTCAAGGTTTAGGTTTCATGCTTTTTTTACTTGCCCGGCAAATCGGTCAGACATCTTCTTGCCCAAAGTCAATTTTTCCTTGCTCCTAAACAAATTGTTTTAGTCATCATCAAATAACAAAGAAGACTAAAGACCTAACAGCACTCCAGTGATGTTTTGCAGAAAATTGGCGTGCCTCGAAATTACAACCTGTTTTGGCTGCTTTGCCCTGAAACTTGTAGTAAACTGCACAACACATAGCTGGAGTTTTGCCCACATCCTCTAACGCCTTCCAACTAAACTCCTGTTTCCAGGATAATCTAAATGCTCGCTTGCGCTTCAGCTCACAAACTTTGTCTTGAACTGCTGCCATTTTCTCTCAACGTCCAATCAGGACTAGGCATGTGCAACTCAAAACAGAGATGAGAAAGAAGCGGGATGGCTCACTCTTTACCTGCTTCCATCAGCAGCGGAAAAAAATATGCATTTAATTTCTTTTACCATTTGCCAGATTGTTGGACTGTTGTTAGATTTACTAGCCCAATGTGGCATTTTACTTGCCGCAAGCAATCAGGCAGTTCTTATTGTTGACCCTGACACTGATGGTATCATACGTATTCTCAATCAGCTTGTCATACCTCTCTGTTAGAGCTGTATGATGTTTTCATTTAGTGACATAATAATATTCAAGTAACACTATAATATCATGATGATGTATTATATATGTTCAGCCTGACTTACTTGGTATCTTTGGGGATTTAGTTCCAAAATAGTTCAGGTGAAGTTGTCTGTAAGTTTGCTCAATGTTTGGCTGCCCACCATGAGTTAATAATGACTGCCACGCTGCTGCTTGTTAAGAGGTTAAAGGTTTAAATATTTGCTGACTCAAAAACAAAAACTGAAAGGACACAACTGAGGTGTTTTTCCACTTCTCGCTCATTTTCTCTCCCTCATCCTTTAATTTGTGGCTTCTTCTGACCCCATGATCTCCCCTCAGCGTGGCTGGGCAATGACAAAGCCCTTTTTAGTGAGGCTGAACACCGGAGGATCACAGGGTGGAGGTGGAAGGGAAGACTGGCTCTGTGTGGGGCTGCCACGTTGACAACAACAGTGATGGTGTCAGGCAGAGAAACATTGAGGTGGGGATTTGCAGATGGCCGCACAGGAAGACAAGAGCATGTAGAAGGGAGAGTGTGGGAGACAAAGCCGAGTGTGTTTGTGACTGTGAGTGAGAGACAGATTCCTATAAAGAGATGTGAGATTAGACGCAGACGCAGAGTCTCACCTCAACTCAAGAGCTTGTGAATCAAACTAGATCTGCTTTTAATGAAACCACTAAATCCTTCCCTCCCTGTGTGTGTGTGCCTGTGTGAGTTTGTGCGCGTGTGTTTGTCTGTGTCCGATGTGGTATTACAGTGCTATTGTGGGCTCAGTCTCACCCTATCACAGGCTAAGAAGCTTTGCGGTTGATGCTACACAGTGTCCATTGTAGCTTTCTTCAGGTCAAGCACACAATATCCACATGCACACACACATGCGCGTTCACACACACACGTGCACACTCACATGGATTAGTAGTGTGTGGGAGGCCGAAGGGACCTCCCTAAAGCTGCTGGATCTTTGCCAACCAAAGGCTTCTGACAATAGAAGAGCCACTCACACACACACATTATCTATATCTGAGTGAAAGTAATTTCTCTGTGTAACGCTCCGCTGAGCAGTTTAACTTCCAGGTGTTCTGCAGGTAGTTTAATTTGACAAGCTCATTCAGTTGACAGCTTTACTTTCTCTGGAAAACAAGGAAGCAGCCGAAATGTTATAATGAAGTTGCCTTTTGGATCGGTTTCACTGTTTCTCTTTTAGTTACTATAAACGTCAGAGTAATAAAAGAGAAATCTGGATCTTTTCTTCAGGACAGCTTCCTACAGTTGTTATTATCTAGTGTTAGCATCCAACAAATTCATCCCTGCAACAGCAAGAGGGGGAATATTTGTTGTCATTTAACCGGAGAATCATAGCTGTGTCCCAGTTCCAAACTATGTACTAATTCTCAGTGGTTTCCCTGTTTGTGTTTTGTGGAACTTACTTACTTACTGTGTTCATTTGTTTTTCATAATGTGGTGCGAGTAGAAATTTTTGTCCTCTGACAAAATGCAGGAAAGAAGGACCTTCTTACATCTCCAACAAATTAAAAGTAATCAAATTTAATTTAATTATAGTTTAGGAGCTTGTGGGACATTTCTGGAACACATCACCAGAGAATAAAAAACAAAAGTATTAATTTTTCAATTTGGGAGAAGAGCTATTGCTGTGTCTCAAATCGCGTACTTCTGTACTTACACTTACTATTTTGAGTGCATAAGTGCGTTCACACTGAGAAGTATGGAAAAATGCAGTGTGCTATGAGTACCCTGATGGTGCACTCAAAACGGTCAAGAAGTTGAGTGTGGAACTATGGACACTTCTCGCACTCAATGGTCGCCATCTTGGCTACGTAGCGGAAGGGGAGGGACCACTTTTCAAATTGGAAATAGCGGCCGAGGACTGTGCGACCATGAACGTTGCTGCATTGAACAAATACATGTGTTTTTTGCACTAATCACCACTATATGTTGTTGGGTATAAGCAGCAGTATGTTTATTGGGTTAATTTAGCAGTCTGTAATGATTTGGTACCGCGAACGATAACGCGAATTATGCTAATGCTAGTTTGCTAACTAGCTAATTTGCGGTCGTCATTTCAGGCTGTGTTTGGTTTGAGACAACACTACCCTGTTGAAATTTGAGCACTACGCCAATGAGTACATAGTGCACATGGTTTACTACATAGAAGTATACTAACGGAAGTATGTGATTTGAGACACACCACTAGTTTGAAATTAGCTGTAGCTTCCAAAGTTGCAGTTTGATTAGCATCCATTGATGCACATCATCTCCTTTTATGACAAAACAGTACAGTAAATTAAAGATATACTATGCAGGATTTCCAAAAAAAACAGTATTCCCTCTCAGTCATCACTTATGACCCACTACAAGTGTGTGGCATCTGCAGAGACTCTGCCCTCTGTCTGTATTTTCTTATTTTTTGGCGACCATGTGCCAGACCGTAAGCAGCACACATCCAAGAGTAAGCTACAAAAACTGGTCAAAGCACGGCAAAAAACACACAAATACAACGAGGCGAAATGGCAAGCAGACAAAGCTGGGGTTGGCTTTCATTTTCACTTTTGCTGGTGATACTGTTTACAATCAGTGGCCGACAAGTCCTGCATAGTACACCTTTAACTTTTTGTGTACCTACTGCAAATAATAATTTTCCAATACAAAAATAGCAACGAAATGTGTTCCACCATTTATGTGAGATCATAACAGGAGAACAAACTCTTCATATGTGCAAAACTGAGCTTCATAAAGCTTTCTTAAACCTTATGTCCCATTAGAAGTGTGTAGTGATGGATTTTTCTGCAGAGACTTTCACTGTCGAGCATGTTTACAAACAGTAACGGACAATCCTGCATAGTATACCTTTCAGCTTGATTGGAATCGTTAATTTGGACCGCAGAGAGTTATGTAACAATATAACTGTGCTGCTGAAAGTTGTTTCATAATAACATTGTATTGTACGAATCAATACTGCTGAAATACCACTTAAACTAGTATTAGTATGTAGCATGGCACCGGGACAAAGCACATGTTTCCTTCAGGAGGAGAATGGATAAAGAAATGATCCACGCCATTAAAACGGGATCCATCCATTCTCTCGTCACACGTAGACCAGAGCCAATCAGAGATTCCGACTGTGAGGTCATGTTACCTCTGACCTCTGATGAGGTCGCCAGCTTGTTGTTGACATGGCCACGGGAGGGAGAGCGGCCGCGCTTTATGTCCTGGCATGACTCAAACACAATCATACGCTCTTGACACAGAGCCAGTCTGTCTGAGGGAGAGAGGGCAGAGCGCAGGGTGGGTGTGCAGGGACGCCTGAGAGCCGGTGGACGCTCAGGAGATGCAGCGTGACAGACAGACACAGCACATGAAGACAGGCAGAGAAACAGAGGGGTGTGCACACATAACATATGGATATTTCCACAAATACAACAACCATAGAAGCAGACATATGCACAAATTAACTGTCAGTGGAGGTGGGCAGAGGACACAAATCAGGAATGGAAAAAGCTTCTATATACAATATGTTTGGAGCCAACACAATTGCAGGATGAAGTGTGACATTCACGTAGCACAGTAAAAAGCAGAGGTATGGAGACAGTGGGAGGGTTGATCCAATATCAGTTTTGTTATCGGGATGGAAATAGGCGGCAGGTCAAAAACTTAAGCTAGACACCAGTGAAGCATCTGCTGAGCAATTAGATTTTATTTCATCACAATAAATTCCAGTCGTGAGCCAGCCTGGGTACCAGATGAATCTGCGAGGTCATCTTTTACTAGCTCTGGCAGATGCATCTGATCTCTCCACTTCAGACAGATTTCCAGCTGACATTGCCCCGGTCAGGCCAATCACAACCGTTTATCTAATATGGGGCATGTTTCTAAAACGACTGACTCCACCATTGGGTGCTGATATGTTGGCTCATGTCATTCTGCCAACCGTACCCCATATCAAAGTCAACTTGACAGGCTTTGCAAAAGGCATTGCCAGTATCCTGGTGAATGGAAGATATGAATAGAAACTCTATAGTTGAACTCTACTTCAAGTAAATTTACAGTGTTCTTTGATTTTGTTAGGCAAACACCATCATGCCCTGCCATTTAAACAACAGCTAAGCTAACAGCTATGTTAAGTTAGCTGGCCTGTTTGCCTGCACAGAGAGCAGCTGGCACATGCTCCACAAATCTGCTTGTGATTTACCAGGTTGTGGTGACAGGTGGGCTGAGTTGTATGGAGTGTGTCTATAACTTGTGTAGTTTGTGTTTAATAGATAATATGGTGACTTGGGCGACATCAGACAAACATACAAACTTATGAATCCTTGTATGACGATTATTTAGAATAGAGTTTGAGGGTCATGCAAATTACGGGAGTTTCCTGGGAGAAACAACAAAACAGGAGGGAGCTGCGCGATGGCCTCAAAATACAGGAGAAACCTGGGAAAGACGGGAGTGTTGGCAGGTTTGTTTTTGGCTCAAGCACCCTCGTGCCAGGGACACGACAACAAGCATAAACCTAGCTTGTTATGGAAGCATAAAAACAAGCGTTATGAAGGCATTTTGGAAAACAACCAAGATGGCTGCAGCGATGCTACACCATCACAGCTCATCTTCGCACTTTGTCGTCTGTACACGTTTGTCCAATGCTCAGTGCTATGTCACATATTTTGTTGATCTGATTAGTTGTAGGTCTATCCAACTGCATCCAGACTGAGGTGTTTTGACCTACAGCCTTTGACAACGCCTAAAGGAAATCAAAAATGAACTGAGAGGTTCCAGACAAACTCACATTTGGGATTTGGTCTGGCAATGTCAGACTAGTTGTGAGCAAGTTTCACGAAAGTAAAGTATCAAAAATATCCACACTAGAAGCCTCTCATACTGATTCTGCGGCATAAATAACTTCCTCATTGTCCATCTGTATGTCCCAAACAAAACACACTGCTCTGCCCACCCCTGACAGACAGACACACACACACACACACACACACACACATGCATACACACACACAGAGTTGTAACACACGTGTCTTACCTGAGAAGAAGTGAGCCTTGAAGCCTTTCTTGGAGACGGTATTATCAGACTTGAACTCAATCCTCATGTTGTTATATTGAGAGGTGATGACTTCAGGGACCTCTGTGCCACAGTATTTACCATGCAACTTAGAGTCTGATGAAAGGCCACTGCGCACCTCCACGTAGTCATATTTACACACCTAAAGACAGAAAGCTCTTGTAACACAAATCCACAAGATGGCTACTTATGCTTTGCACCTCCATATTATGAACAGACAACACACACACACACTCACACTTACCTCATTCCCCTCCAGCTCAAAGGCCTCAAACTGCATGGAGATGCGGTACTGAGTGGGAGCGACCACCTGCCAAACACAGTTCTTGTTGGGCGGATACTCTTTAGGCCAACCAGGAGTGCTGATGGTCCCGTTCAACTTGGAGAGGAGACCGCCACATGCCGCTGGAAACACACACACAATTCAGAAACACACACGCACCAAGGTCATGATATATGTGTTTACATGTCTTACAAGCCACAAGGACAGAACTGCACAGAAAATGACGGAGTTTTGGAGCTGTTTTATTTTACATTGTGGTGGGAGTGGGATTCCCCTCACCCTGCCAAACCGCATCATACATTCACAACCGATGGTGGATCTGGTCAATGTTTCAGTCAGTTGTTTTTATTTAGGTTTCAAATGCACTGTTCTTTAAAGTCATAAATTATTGCTTTCCAGGCTGCAGCCGAATGTCAAATCCACATTTTCCCCAATGTTTAAAGAAACTGAGCCGTCATGTGAGAGTGTCTGGTTTTGTGCAATGGGGAGCTATAAGGGCCACATATTTATTTGAGAGGGGCAATGCAATTTAACAGATAGCAATAGAGAACATGAAACCGATGTGCAACAGAGAGTGTTTATAGCTCTTGCTCATAATCAACTCTAGTTTGTAGCAGGGCTTTTGATGAAAACAGTTGTATGCTGCATTTATTTCAGTCAGGACGGTTTTATTTCTGACATGATGAAGTCGAGGACGGAGACTCTGCTTCTACTGATGATGTCCTAGAGCCACCAGATTAATCTCAAAAGAAAGTCATTACTACTGGTATTTGTTAATTTCAAGGGGAGGTAGGTCATGTGAACTAATGCAAGTTAATTTAATCTATTTTTTTTTTTTAAGTTTATTTACATTATTAATCCCCAAGGGGGAAATTCAATCTTTCCACAGGCCCGAAATACACACACACATGCACAAACAGGACCTTTTTTACATGCATTAAATGGAGAGATGTCAGGGTGAGGGGGCTGCTCGTGGACTGGCACCCCGAGCGGTTGGGGGATTCGGTGCCTTGCTTAAGGGCACCTTGGCAGTGCCCAGGAGGTGAACTGGCACCTCTCCAGCTACCAGTCCATGCTCCATATTTTGGTCCGGGTGGGGACTTGAATCGGCGACCCTCCGGTTCCCAAGCCAAGTTCCTATGGACTGAGCTACTGCTGTCCCCAGTTACTCACAAGACATGATAATACCTGTACAGTTCACCACAGCATTTTCCTCATACCACAACTCAGTTTCTCAGTTTGTCCTATTATTCCAAACATATTTATTAGTGTGATACTTGTTCAGCCAAGCATTTCCCCAATTTATCCTTCTCGAGATGGGCATGGAGAAACCTCAGATGTCACTGTAATTGAATATAAAAACTACAAACTACTATGGCAGCTTTGGTGACGTCACTTAGGTGAGACGAAAGATCCTTTGCCACTGGAAAAAAAAAACACTGACACCTGGCTTTTGTCTCTAATGTCAAAGGTTACAACTGGCATTTATTCCCAGGACAAATGACTCTGCAGTACTCATCGATCTGCTCCATTTGGAAGTAACGGAGACATGACACTGGGGTGGATGCGTTAATTTTAGCCCCTTTTACAGCTCAATGCAATGACGCGCCGTCACAAAGTCCGTCCATCTCTTCCCATGCGGTGCTCAAACATCATTACAAATTAGTCAGCACTGAGTTTGAGAGAATAAGTAACGGGTATAAAAAAGAAGTAACCACTGACTGACTTTCACTGGCCTCCATGATGCTTTCTTCTGTTTACTAAGCTGCTTTCCAGCAAAGTCATGGTGTTGAATGTGATACACCGGCACCAAAAACGAAAAACAAAGTCATACTCATCTACTGCTGGCAGTATAACAGGTTTCCCCACATTTAAAAAAACCTGCATATATGCAATGCTTTTGGTAGAAAAAGGGTAAAAAGTACATTTCTATTGGAATGAAGCAAAAAAATGTATTACACAACATAAGTGGCTATTCTACCATACAGCAATACTCTTTTGGTAACTGGGGATAACCACTGATAACTACTGGGGAAAACAAAAGCACTATTTTACTCCTGGGTTTTTTTGCGCAGTAGTTGATGCACTTCCTTTGTGTCGTAAATCAACCCTTTATTTCCCCTGAAAATCATACCCTGGGGCAGAGAGAATTACATGATGAAAATTAGGCTTTAAGGGAACCAATCTAAATACTGATGGTGTCATTTTTCTACAGCAATCAATATTTACTTCATAATGATAAGTTAAAGCAAAAAAACGTGTCTATTTCCCCTTTAAATCCACTTTCTCCACAATGTTCCCACACATTAATTCAGCGGGGAAGCCAAAGTAACTACTGCTCTTCAAAGAAATACAGCAAAACCACCATTTGTATATTTCTCTCAGCATAGCTTTCTCTCTCTCTGCCTCAGAAGTGGTTTCAGTTGTTTCAGTATGAGGGTCACTGTGGGTAGTTAATCTATTTCGTGGGATTAAAGGACCTTCACAGCATTTGTGGCACTAAAGCAGCGGGGCATGTGGCTTTGTGTCAGAAAGTTGTTTTTTCCTGTTGATGGAGGCTGCTCGGATGTTTTTTTTCTGATGAGTTAGACTCATATCCTACAGAAACACACAGCGACTTACAAAGGAATGCGCATACAAACATGATTGCATCACACACACACGCACACACCACACACACTCACAGTTACCTTCACAGCTCTTCTTGTCTGGAGCTAGTTCATAGCCCGGGTCACAGGCACACTTGAAGCTGCCGAGAGTGTTTACACACCTCTGTTCACATCCACCATTGTCTGGCTTGGCACACTCATCCTCCTCTGAAAAACACACACGTCAGCGCACATTTATTTTCACACACCTAAAGAATGCTTTGGTTAAGAGGTCTCGTGAGAAAAAAACAATCACATGACACACACACATACCTTTGAAGAAGTTAGCAGCAAAGCCGGCCTTGTTGACTGTGCCGTCTGAGACAAACTTCATCCACAGCGTGTGTGAGGTGGAGCGCACATCCTCAGGTTTGTCGTAGCCACAGAATCGACCAATCAAAGGGCTCGTCTCCAGGGGGCCATCTCGGACCTCCAGGTAGTCGTAAGCACAGCTGTCGTGCCTCTCAATCTGGAAAAACATTCACGTAGGTGAACACACAAACATGCAGTGAGAAACACAACACCTCTGTGAATATCAACATCTGTCCTGTCACTATCAAATATCTCAGCAAAACCTAGTGGGGAAAGAACTTCTTTTTACAAGCTGGATCTTATTTGCGTCGTTTTAGCCAAGAGAAGTGTCTTAGACTAGAATAGGGCTGGGTATCAGTACTAGATACTCCTAGGGTACTGACTGAAATAACCCAATACCAATAAGTATCGAAACTGCAGGTGGATTCTCGCAACTGTCCCTGGTGCAGAGCTCGCACTCCCGCAGCAGCAGCTACAATCCATACAGTCTGTGGTGTGGTGAAGTCAAGCCCGGTATATTTGAGTTGGCAGTTCAGCATGCTGAGATGCTATAAAAACGTAATTTCTTAACGATACCTAACCCTTGACTGGAGCAATTTTAAACGAGGTTGATGTTCACTTCTGTGTAACGGTGAACTTTGACCTTACAGGATTGAAGCAAGGTTGGGGACAGATTGAGTCATTTAGCACACTGACATTTTTACAGCACAAAACTAATCCTCTACTGTGCCGTGTTTCTGTGCACACACACACACACACACACACACACAAACACATGCACCACTAACATTATTAACTTCTTAGCAGCTATACGAGCGTGAAATTTGACCCAGACATTCCTGAGCACATACACACGTACACACACTCACAGAGGGGGAGGAAGAGAGAGAAACACACACACAAACATGAGCACACACACACACACACACACATACACAAGAAGTGACTCACCTCGAAGGCCTGGAAGCTGAGCCCGACGTTGTATCCTTCAGACACAGTGATCCTCCACACACACTCTTTAGAGGGTCTGTAGTCATCAGGATAGTTGGGAGACTGAATCTGTCCTGAGTCTTTGGTGATTTCCCCTCCACAGATCGCTGCACAAGACAGACAGACAGACAGAGAGACAGGACAGATTAGCATACACTGCAGTAACCAACAACACCTGAAACTCGTGTATATATTAATTATGCATGGAAACGTCTCACAAAAGTTGCAGTCGTTAAACCCGGCCTTTACTTAACCATGTACACTGGGTTTACACTCTTTGTTTTTACACATATATTTATGTTTTCATGTGAATATTTGTTTTCTCAGGTCACCTTCATAAATGGCAGCGAAGCCTTTTCCCACCCAGTTGCTGCTGCTGCGGAACTCAATCCACATCCTGCTGTCAGTGGAGATCAACACGTCGGGAACTTTATCTCCACAAAACCTGCCTGTTAAAAACACATCAAAACAAACCCTGTCAGAATCATAATTTGTGTCATAGCCTGTGAAACGTGATGTGAAATATCTGAGGGAAAAACAATAACAATACTCATAAATCTGTATATTTTTAATCCTGGTTCAAGTTTTGCTTCACTGCAAAGTGATGTCATCTGGCAAAACATTGTACTGGCCAATCAGATAGATTTTTTGATACTGTCATTTTGAACATGGCCTTAGAGTCACAGCAGTGTCAATCATCCAAAGTGATTTCAGCAGAAGTAAAGAGCTAATGACGGAGCAACAGTTTATTAAAGGGATAGTTCACTCAAACACAATATAAACTGTACATAGGACTATCCTCCTTGCACTCTCTTTGATCCCAGAAAAAGTTTCTATCCGATGGCGTTAAGCAGAGCGGAATGCACAAAGGGATTTGTTGTGCATGCGTGTCATAGGCAGGTTGAAAATTCAAAGTAAGAGCAAGTAAACGTCCACAAATGTGCACAACAAATTCCTTTTCAAGAGGATAATCCAGCAATGCTTTGTTCACAATATAGTTGTTTGGTTCTCCATGAGCCCATAAATGAATACAAGACTCTTGGACAATACGGTACAAGAGGCTTCAAAAAGGTTTTGGGATGTTTTAGAAACTTTTTTGTTGTCCTTTCTTTGGACTCTGCTCGATGCTTTCATTTTTTGGGCTCTCCACAGATTCAAACAGAAGACTGAATCATCACTTATGACCCACTAGATGTGTGTGGCGATGTTCTTCTTATTCTCTGTGTTCAGGATGTTTGTGGGCACAGTGCAGGTGAGGTCACGGCTTTATGAAAAAGGAGCAATCAGGTGCCAGACTGTAAGCAGCAGGGGATCCATGAGAGACAGTGCTGAAAATTGCAAATGTAGGGAGGCAAAATGGCAAATGAGAGTGAATCTGCAGTTGGCTTTTACTTTCACTTCTGCTGAAGAGTATGTTTATGATGCCATTCAATAAGAAGCTTTTTATGGAACCATAAAGAGTCTAAAGAGGTGAGTACTATATACAGTTTATATTGTTTTTGGACGATCTACTACTCCTTTAAAAGGCAACCAGCACCCTTCTGGCCCTCATTGATCTTACCGAGCAGTGGAGCTTTCCTCCAGTATCCATCCCGAACCTCAATGTAGTCGTACCAACACAAACTGCTTTTATACAGATCCATGGTGGTGAAGTTAAGAACAATCTGTAGGAGAAAAAGTAAGAACATTTACATATTTATTACAGTGTGTTTGCACCTCAAAGAAGGAGTCGAGGAGAGGCAGAAGGGAAGAAGAGGGTGGTACCTGTGGTGTGAGGACATAATCAATAAACAGTCAGCAGTCTCCCTCTGTTAGTGCATGCACATTCACTGCACTGCAGGGTGTGTGTTTGTGTGTGGGTGTGTGTGTATGCACCTTTTCTCCAGGTGTAACTGATATTCTCCAGACACAGTGCGTGTATGAGGGGTATCCGTTGGGGTAACCAGGAGACGAGAAGTTGCCCGTTGAATCTTGGAGCGTCTCTCCGCATGCTGCAACACACACACACACAGATGGAGTTACATTTTTGTGGTGAGTCCTGCTGTTGTGTGTAATCCTTTCAGCTGTGTACTGATACTTATGGTACATTACTTAAGAACACATGGCTCTCATATCTATTATTATTCTCATCTTTTACTGCCAATTTACCAAAATAAATATACTACAGACTATTCTGTCAAAACAACAGCCTCAGTCTACAATGTCGGATCTGTCCAGATGGAAACTGTTGGACCCTTATTTCTGATTCGTAAAAACAGTAAAGGAATTAAAATCACTCTCCCAAACAAACTCGCATTTCATGTTGTCTTTGGCTTGTCTTAGTTTTGCACGTTCGAGTCTGCAGTCTGGGTGTCTGCATTCCCATGTGTATCAGCATACATGTGAGGTCCGACCACAGTCATTAAGCCTCGTCACCATTCAGCAGAATTAAACATTCCCCAGTAGTAGAGTCATTTACTGTAAGTGAGCGAGACTGACAGACTTTAAATCTTTAACAATGAAGAAAGAAAACTATTACAGCTGGAAAGGAAGTCGTGGGAAAATTATCAAGCAACATTTCTCTCTTGTTCATTCATTCCGAGTTTAACGCCGTCGCTCCCTCTCAAAAGGAGGTTAGCCAAATGTGCCCCTCCTATCCCATCATGCATGCTGTTTTCCCCCACAATGCCCTGGGGCTCTGTTCATCTGTCAGTGAATATGGTATCACTCAAATATGACCTTATAAGGTTGAGGTTGAATATATTTCCAGCTGGGACACACAGTCTTGTTCTCGCTCCAGTATCAAAATGGATTCAGCAGAATGACATATATCCTGTGATATATGTGCAGTTATTAATATTCATGAATGAAATAAATGCCATACTTGCATATTGTCAGATATATTGGATTTTAACAGCACAGATTTTAAAGACTTTGGCAAATTTAACAGACCAGAATGGTGACAAATATTATTTAATCTGTTTGTCTAAGATCATGTCGACATGATGACCTAAAGCGTGACCTCATCTTGGGGATGTGAGTGTGTGGGATGGCAACACTTGCGATAGTAAACCATTGCAACATTACCCCACAGCTCAGCTTGAGAGCAGATCCAGATCACATGAGAACTGCGCAACAGAGGGACGCCCCGAACGGCACAGATGTACGCAAGAACTGACGGGATGAGTGTGTGTGACGTGTGTGAGACACGAAAACAAAGAGGGAAGCGTCGCATGAAATAACAAATTACTCAACTTCACCTCTGTGCCTTGGAGAATGGAGGGGCGGGGATATTTTACGCCAGAGATACGAGCTGATAAACAGAGGTCATGTTTTGTTTTCTGGCTGTATGGACACTTTGCACAAACATATTCACACACACTGTGGTCATGTAGTAAATATATCAGTACCTGGACATCTATACAGCTTCCTTGCCTGTGCAATGTCTCCTTTACTGAGCCTGGTGCGCTGGCCAATAGCAGGCCGGACCCCGTTTTCATCTCTGGATGGAAGAATGGTGTCGAGGAACATCCCCCTGCAGGCGTGAAAAGAGACATTTACACACGTCATGCTCTGACTTCAAGGAAATCAATTTCAACACACACACACACATGTATCTTCAAAGCAGAATAATGTAATCGCTCCACCAATGTTTTTATGTTTTCTCCCGATGTGTGAGTCGAGCTGAGTGGGGAATAGGAGGGGTCATGAGAGTAGGTGATGCAGAGATTATAAAGCATCCTCATACAGAAAGCATGTAGAGTGAACCCATGATGGCTCTCACTGCCAAATTAACTGGCTGATTTCAGATGGCGGAGAAAACATGGGTGTTCATGATGCTATGAAAAGTTTCCATTAGTTTCATTGTGCTGATTATTTCTAATTTCTCCCAAAGTGAGTGTGCTGTAGTGTGCACTGTGTATCTTTTTTAAAATATTCATTATCTATCATGTATACAATGTTCCAAAGTGATCACTTTAAACATGCTGCCTACAGAGGGCATGGTTTTTATAGGATTTGCAGTTTCAGGTCGGGCTGTGGATCTTATGTTCATGGGTCAAATCAGGTTGCAGAACTAATTGTTCATATGTGCAGGTGGCGGAGCAGGTGTGGAGTTGCACAATGTTGTGGTTTAGGAACAGGTCTTAAAAATCAGACAGGATTCAGATGTGAGCGAGAGTCCGAAAATGAAGTAAACAACAGTATCTCGCCTTCACTGCTGTCTGTGGCTATAATATCTGCTCTGTTTTAGCTTGTTGGTCACAAGCTCAGCAATGATGCTGATAAATCCAGTAATGTTTAACATGTTTGTAGGTTGTACTGTGCACAGGAAAAGGAATAGCTGCAGCCTTTTTATGTGAATTTTTGCATGTTGCACTGAACCTTTATTCGCCCTGGATGATGCAAGTATCAGCTCCACCCCAAAAACAATCAAAACACCATCAGGGTCACTGCTTCACAAAATTACAGAGCAGACACTGAACTTTAGAGAAATGTGTTTTGGCAGATTGTGTATCTGATAGTGTTGTAAATTCAGCAGTCAAGAGATATTGTGCCGCTAGTTACCGTGAGAAGGTGTTCCTGGCGTAGTGCATGATACTATCGAAATCATACGGTTCCCCGAGAGAGTTGACCTCCCCTGGCTCCATCTTGAGAAAGTTATACTCCTGGCCTGCAACCATGTACACAAATACACACACATTTGCACACATAGAAGGACAGCAGCATCAACCAACCAACAGAGTGTAACAGAATATATTCTTTACACAAAAATGAACGCACAAAACAAAATTTAAATAATTAAGTCTGCATTAATAAGGACATATATCTAATTATCAGGGTAGCGTAAAGCTCTGATAGGTTTCTAAATATAGGTTTCTAAATAAAAACTTGGGTCAGGACTGATTCACTGCCGTGTCATCTGATTTAACACCTGTCAGATTACGTTGCGGTGCAGAGGAGTGTGTGGGAGGAGGAGTGACAGTCTGGGGGGTCGAGGTGCTTTCACAGTCATTAAAAGCCTCATTTACACTCACACAGGGACAAAACACGAGTGTGAATTTAAAAACACACACATTCACATTATCCGTAAACGTCCTCACTTGTCTCAGGCTGGAAACGACCCTAAATGATTCTAACAGAGACCCAGGTGCATCATGGGTACTGAGTCTCACCTGGTTGGATGTTATCGCGAATGATGGTCACGTGATCGTCACGGTCAGGCCGCGTGTGCTCGTGCCAGAAGCCAATGACGTGGCCCAGTTCGTGCACCACGATGCCAAACTTGTCACAGTTCTTCCCTATGGAGATGGCCTGGGGCCCGTTGCCACGACGACCCACATAGGAACAACACCTAATAAGGATTAGTAGGAAGTTGATAGCAGGGAGATAGGCGGACGATATTTACTACTCATTTGGCAGTGGAGAAAAAAAAGCATCAGCAGTGTTGCATGAACACACACACTCACTCAAACACACACACACACACACACACACACACACACACACACGCACACACAGTCTTCTCAGGATTTCCTGCCTTGTACTACGTCCACCAGAGGGAAAGCGTCAGGATTTATTTACATGCAGCGCTCCGATAACACTGCAGTTTCATAACCCAATGTGAACAAGCTGTGAGAATTCACATATCACTGCTCACAGAACACACACACAAACACACACACACACACAAAAAAAGGGCACACACTCATTCTTTTTTCTCTGGTTAGCCGAGACATCCGTGCCAGGCTAACAAATCTGATTAAAGTTACCCAGCGAGCTGATTGCAGGGTAAGGATCAGGAGTCACTGGAGTAGATAGTCTTTTTTTCTTGCGTTTGCAGCTCTAGTATCAGCAGCACTTCACCCACAACAGGTGCCACAAACACACTGTGGTTCTTTTATAAAACATTACTTATTTTTTCTGCATCTCTCTCTGTCTATGTCTCTCTCTCTCTCTGTCACACGCCCAAGCGGCAGGGTATTTATACATCAGATTAAAGTGTCTAATCTCTGATGCAGCCAGCCAATGACAGAGCACGAGAAAACTGGCATCATCTGTCACACAGATCTTTTACACATCTGAATGGCATTTACATTTAAATATCAGATACATTTCAAAATGAACTTCTCTCGAACCTGTAACTATCATTGTTCAATAAAAAGAGAGAAGTACATACACCCAAAGAAAGTATTCAGTGTTGGAACAAACTGGAAATATTAAAGAAAACATGGTGGAATCTGCAGTTTCTCTGTTCCAACAAAACATTAATAATCGCTGTAACAGTGCAACATTTTGATTGTTCAAGATCTTCAGTTACAGTGTGCGGGTTATTGCAGACTATTCTTTGCCATACCATTATTGTTCAGTCTACAGAAGTCCTATTAAAATTTAGCTCTGGGTATTGTACTGCTCTGCTCTGCTCTAAGATCACAGGAGAGACACAATGGGACCAGTTTTTATAATCAACAAATCCTCCAGAAAGCCACACGTATTTTAGCTTCTTCTGGACATCTTCTTGCAGGCGGATTTTCTCTGCTGCTGCTGTCAGGGCATTGTTATGTTTTACCTGCTTGTAAAACTAACTAACTAAAAATTAACTAAAATAAGGTAAGTGAACAAGACTACAAATCATACCTAACAGTTTTCAGTGCTTGGTGCTATGGACACATTTTTGTCGGTACCGAAAAAGTAGAGGTTTGATTACATCCCTGTTAAGTTACAGTCAACATATCAAGGTTTCCAAAGATATAATATGCCTGAATGCTGCTGAATGCAAAAAGACATTTGATAAAGATGATACAACCATAACACATGGCATATATACCAACTATTTTATTTATTTTTTATAACCAACTGTCAAAAACTCTAAGGTTTTTAACTCACAGTAATATAAAATAAAAATAGCAATGGGGCTTGTTTGCTCAATAAATGACTTTAATTCATCAATTATCACTGAACTGGTGTGGGTTGATTTTCGTCAGATAAACTAATCGATTTATGAACTTATTATCCTACACAGGGCTGCAAGATATATCGTTTCAGTATCGACATTGCAATGTGCGCATGCGCAATAGTCACATCGCAGGACGCACAATGTCAGGTAAGGTAATTTAAGTCAAACATGTCAGGCTACAACTTTTCTGCTGCATGATTCAAAGGAAAATTCACACGGTTCTTTTTTTTAATGACTTATTTTACTGGCCAAGCCTTCACCTTTAAGACAGGTTATGTGTGATAAGGCTTAGTCTGGCGGCATTTGTTATGAGAATTTAGACTCCTGTGTGTGTGTGTGTGTGTGTGTGTGTGTGTTTGTGTGTGTGTGTGTAACAAAAGTACAGTGACCACACCTGCAAGAGCTGTAGACACAGTGAAACCAATGCTTCTCTGAAGCTACAGTAGTTATCTATACTAGATAAGCTCAGGTTCCAGTATAACGACTGTAAAAATAGTTGTGCTTTGTGTTCACTGCGCAGACGAAATAATGCACCTGTTTAATACAATATTATCACGACGTCTACTAACCGTTTTTCACCATAGAGTGAAACTGTAGTAATTGTAGTTGCTGGCTACGAGTCAGGCTAAAGCTAAATGAGTCTGCCTAAAGAAACCAGAAGTAAAGTTTGCAGCTGTGAAGCTGGAAAGGTAATGTTAACACTAACATTATTCTATAAGATAAGAGCACGCCCGCTAGTTGTCAACCACAACCTGAAAATGAGCGAGGGACAGGATGAGAGTAAAATAAGGGAGCTATTCAAGTCACCTGGTGGACATTCCTGTATTTTTTCATATCACAATATATCACCGAAAAAAAATTTAATTGTCAGGTTTTTTTTTTATATTGTTCAGCCCTAATCCTACATGTACTCACTCTTATAACTATCTGCACAAAAGCAGCTTAGTGAGATAAACCTGCCAAATGTTGTGATTTCACTCTGACATTTCACAGCTTCCAACCAGTCAGTGAAGTGCACAAACACACTATGACCCTGCCGCGCTGCCACTCAACAGAACAATGCACTTCTGCAGTGTATGAACAAAAAAATTGCACAAACATACAAAAACTTCGAGTGAGCGGCGTGATTGGTGGGATGGGGAAACAGGAGCAGGACAGGAAGGAAAGTGGAGCCATTGTTGAGTGACCATATCGTCTCTCGCTGTGACAAGGTCACCACTGAGCTCTAGGTACACACTCACACACAATCACACGTACACAAAGAGATTCACCAAACTCACCCGCAGGGTCTGTAGGTGAACACAATGTAGCTTTCCTCATCTGTCTTCTCAATGAAAGTTACGCACGTCTGTTTTTCCCAATGACGCATGGCCTGCTTGAACATGGCCCTCTGACTACCTGAAACACACACATTTCACATCCTACTTTTACACAATCACACGTCAGTGTGTGTTTCACTCTTGAGCAGCACGGGCAGCAGTCCAGTAGAGTTGCTTACCAGTGAAGTTCCCTCCAATGACGTAGGGAATGACTCCTCCAGGCCATATCCTCTCAGCTCGGGATGTGGCTGCTCGAGGAATACGGCTTTTCACTACATTTCCAGTCTTCCCACCTTTACCAGTTTGGCTCCTGGGATTGGCAACTCCTTTGCTGGAGTTCTTTGGGAGATAGTCTAACAAGTGAGGAGAGAACAACAGCCATCAAATCTAAATTCACCACAAGTTCTTATTATGTATGTTCAAACAGAATAAATGTCTGGTCTAGTATTTTGAATATCAGTTCATAAATGTGCTGCAAGATTACTGGATCACACTGCTTCTTATTATACGTGACCTTTCAAAGTTTATCCTCAGATCAGAGGGGAATAACACTGCAATATTAAGTTTCATTAAACATTTAATTTGAAGAAGTTTATAATGCGTCATACGTTCATACATTCTGGATCTGATTGTGATTCAGTAGGATCAAGGTCGTGATACAAACTTTGCCGAGTTGCAAAGAGCATAAAGAAGGAGACCAGTGTTGACCTGTAAAAGGTCTAGCAACAATGAGAGTATTGAAAATAGCTTAATTATGATTCTGCATTTCAGCCTGTAGCCTTCATGGGGGTCTGATTGTGCTTCAGAGGTGCCTCTCATCACAAAATATCATAGCCGACATTGTGGCCACAGAGCTCCGGGGGCCAGCTTCCTGGCTTCCCAGTTTCCAGGTGTTTCTACCTCCCGTCTGAAATTGAACCCAGCGGCTCCACAGAACTCCATTGCTGGCCTCAGAGTTCCATGGCTCACTTTCAGGCTTCACAACCCTTCCTCCTTTTGTCTAAACCTGGGGCTCTCACCCAGAGCGCTATCAGGTACTGACATTCAGCACCGATAGATTTAACGTGAATTGGTACACGTAGTAAACACGTATTTCAGTCAGTACCCTTAAAAGTAGCAAGTTCGATACCCAACTGTAGTAGAAAGATCACTAAAGAGACTCAAACTGCCTCTGCAACAAACCTGGAGGCTAAATTTGAATATATATACATATATATATATATATATATATATATCCAAAAATATTTAAATATGTAATTGCCGTTGAAATGCAAAAGAAGAAACAACTTTTTGTGTACATCTCAAAGCATGGCACTTCAATCAGTTTCATTCATTTCAGTACAACATGAAAGTCAACTTGCAGAAACCTGAAACTTGCTTGAGATCGTCTCATCACAGTGAACATTTCATCACTATTTTGCTCAAAGTTTGCATGGTTACAAGCAGAAACCAAAAAGTCTTCTTGGTAGTGCATTTAAAGTTTCTCAGAGAGCTGTGTTTTAGAAGCCTAATCAAAGCTTCAAGACTATGCAAAAAAGTTGGTTTTCACACTGTATGGAAGTAAAATAGAACCTGTGGCTTCCTAAAAGATCCAGGATGCCACTGTGGTAATGTCTGCATTAACGTAAAGAATATAGGATTTGTAGTGTATTGGTTAAAGCATGAAACACCACCATCATTACAGTGAGTAGTAAAGTGTTGGGTCCTTACCGAAGCCAAACCTGCGTATTCTCTCCAGCAATAGATATAACGATCCTCTCTTCTTAGAAATTTCATGTTCCTCCAGGCCACCTGACACACACAAGAGCCAAGAATCAAAACACAAACAATGCACAATAAATGCTGATATCCTCAAGTGGCCTCTGTCTACTTCCTTCCTACTCAAACTGCTTCGCTCTGCAGTCGATAGGTAATGAGAGCAAGCGTTTCAGAGGAAACATGAGAGAGAGTATTACATGATGATTACTGAGTGAGAGTGCGATGTCGAGTTCACTCACCAGACGTGTGGCCCTGCCGGGAGTGTGTGTGCATGTGTGTGTGCTGTGTGAGGTCTATCGTCCTGTCAATCTGGAACATGCGCAGGTCCTCCTCGTCTAAAGCGATGTCGCCCCAGAATGCAGCTGCAGGTGAAGAGAAACATCTGTTAGAATCACAATCAACAGCAGAATCATGAACATATTATCATCATTATCATCATCAAAGTATCAGTGGAACAAGGTTAGTGCCTTTCTACCCTTTCCCTGTATCTTGGTATTTTTCAACCTGGGTCCCTATTTTCCGGTGTTATTTTGTCTGAGTGACTAATGGGAACAACAATCTTTAAACTGGTCCAGTACAGAGGAGAGCGCAGCAGCAGGCAGCTGCAAAACAGGCTACATTGTATGTACTCTGGTGAATTATGCACCCTCAATAAGTGTTTGTTTTTGCCACTGACAGGCTCAGATTATCACTCTCTGTGTCTGACAACATTGTGGTAAGGATCCCTACAGAGGCAGACTCTGTAGGGTCACTGTAACAAGTGAGATCCTTTTTGTTTAACCAGAAACAGACCCAAAATCACCATCACCAAAGCCACCAGACTCCATTTAAATAAACAGTCATTTTAGCATGTATAGAGGCAGCATGTTTTCACATCTAACTGTATTAATTAAGGTTAAAGTTTAATTCAACCAAACCAGAGCTGGTGATTGCTGGAACAATGGAAAGACAAACCAAGATGGTTTTGTGAGTTTTATTTTGTGTCTGTTGACTTTGAATTAAAAGAGTTTTATGATGCTTAAATTATTGTTTATTTAAATGGAGTCTGGTAGTGGCAATTTCAGGGCTGTTTCTGGTCAGACAAAGCGGTCTCTCTCTGTAGGGATCCTTTTCATAATGTTGTCCGTCACTCCACACCTATAATGTCTGTGGCTGCCTGCTGCAGTGCTCTTGCTCAATACTGGACCAGCTTCAAACACTGCTGTTCCCATTAGTCACTTAGATACAAAAATATGGAAAAATAATGTCCACATTGAAAAATACAGAATACACCTTTAGCTAAAAAGTAAGTTTTTAAAAACAGGAACCAAAAAAGTCTGCTATTGTGCCTGTAAATGTCTTTATACATACAAATGGTATGTCTTGTAACATAATAGACACTTGCCACTGAAAAAAAAGTCTGTTTTGTTCTGTCTGTGTGGTTTGATTAAATAAAATCCTCATGAAAACGAGATGAAGTGAAACAGGAATTAAAGGCTGACAAAGAGGACGTGATTCAGGATAAATCCCAGTGTGTAAAGTGGAAGAGCAGCACGTGGCTCGTCCCTTATCACTATGCCTAAGGTGCACTGACAACAGATTTAATGTTTTCAAATGCTCACTTGGAGCTACTAAACGGGATGAAATCAGACTCTTGTTATACTACGGCAGCTTCCAAGTATGAATGTGAGTCTAACTGTGTGAGTGTGGACGGTGTGCTCATGAAAAAGAGAGCACTGCTCTCTGTGAAACAAATATAAGTTTTAAATCCTACTTCTAATTAACCAGAGGTCATCCAAACCATGGATGAGTCAGAAATGGAGACAATAACAAAAACTTTACAAGGACTTAAAAAGAATTTGCAAATAAGCAGTGACCACTTTTCCTCAACATGTGGGTATTAAAACAACTCGTCCAGAACAAAATTGGATGCAGTTAATGAGGATCTTTTACAGAATTCATTTCAGTTCAAGTACAAACTGTTTAACCCACTCAGGCCTGCAGTGCAGAACTCTTAGGGCCTTTGATTCAGTAAATACAATGTGCATTTCTACACCTGGCAGAAGTCTACAGCAGCTGTCACATTTGTACATTATACAATTCTGGTACAACAATTCACCAGGATGTAGCACAGGTGTTTTCTTTATCTGTGGAGGGCAGTGGTGTAGTGGAGGGTATACACAGATATACGGGGTATACCCACATCTTTTTTTGGCTGTTAAAAGTATACCCAGCTTACTAGCCAAAAAGCCAGTAGAATATATAGGAGAGCATACCTACTCCTTCCTCAGTAACCTACCCATCTACCTATTAGTACACCTGCCTCGTGAACCACCACTACACCACTGATAGAGGTGAAGTCATCACATAAATTAAAACCTTAATCAACCCTATTGATTCTCTGGATAATAGCAACACTGTCACTCCAATTAAACACCTGAAACTACACTCAAATACCTATAAACTTGTGTTTGATTTCAGTTGCCCAGAGAGCTTAGTCTCCCCTCATGCACAGTCACCAGCTCAGCTCCAAGTGGTCTTACAGTGGTCTGATATCAGGCCATGTGTAAGCAGTTCGGCAAGTGACACTCCCACCCAGCCGTCCCCTCCACTGCGCCCTCCCTCCCTCCCTTCCTACTCGGACCACTCCAGTCTCTCCTCCTTATCCTCACATCTTCCCTCTTTCCTTACAGCCTGGTTTAAGGTTTCAACGTGACTTGTGCACACTGTTAAAAGGACATATTCACATTTAATCAGATCTGTTGTAAAACACACATTCTTATGTACAGCTATTGGCCGTTGTGTTCATCACCCCTCTTCACTGGCTGTGATCCCTTCCTAATGCACATTTTTTAAGGTCAACTCAGGCTGATATGAGGCAGCAGCAGTCTCAGCTAGTCAAATCAAGTGTGTATTTTAAACAATTACTTAATTGTTTTTAGCAGAAATTCCCTCTTTTTGTTACCACCCCTCTACTGCAGCTCAGCGAACACACACAGAAAATTTTGTGTAATTTAGTTTTCTTTATCATTTCTTCCTTTGGTGCTACTTTTACTTATTCTATCTGTTTATACATTTTCCGTGTGTGTTACGTGGAGGGGGCTAAAACTAGGGCTAGGTATCATAACTCAATACCTTTAAGGTATTGGCGGAAATAACCCAGTACAATAGTTTTAAAATTTTCAGTTAAACAATATCTGCATTTGTTCCAAAATCTAGAAGAAAAATGACTATTTGTATGGTTTTGCTTGCAGCCAATCACTGCAGGTGTTCTTTGATTTAATGCGTCTGATTGGCCCATAACTGCAGCAGCTTTAGTTGAGGGCGGTGTATTTGAAGGAGTTGGCAATTTGGCTTGCCAAGATGCCCCACTACAGTTTCACATCATTATCCCCCGGCATATAACCGACAGTCAGTTTTACCGACACACAATTTGACTCTCTCTCTCTCTCTCTCACACACACACACACACACACACACACACATACACACAGATTGGTTACCGACAATTAATTTGCCCTGCATCTAGTGGCATCTTATGCAACTGAATACTTCCATTCACATGAAGGGTGACGAATGAAGCAGAAAAAAAAATGTCAAATGAAGGTCACTGTATCGGTATCACCTCAAGGGTGCTGGTATCATTATTTTTTAAACAATAGCCAGCCCTAGTTACAACTGCATTTCATTATGCAATCCTGTATTAAATAATGTCAAAGCTGAACCTTGAATATTTTTTCTTAAAATTTTTGTTCATATGAAAAAAGTGTGTAATGCAACATTTCAAACTTCAACCATTATTCAGTAGTTTTTTGGTGATGTGTATGTGTGTATATCGGTCATAATAAACACTTCAATCACACAATCTTAAAACCACTCCTGCTCCCACAGCAGCCTCATCTCTCATCTTTCTCAAAAACCTTCCTTCCACATCGCTCCTGCTTCAATCCCCATCCTCCGTCATCCTATTGTGGCTCGTTACAACCAATTTCTGTCTTTTTCTCTCTCCCTCTCCCTCCATATCGACAGTACATCTCCCAGCCTCTAACAATGAACAACTGAGTGATAACCATCGCTAAATGATTAGCGGAGCGGAGTTACTGCCCTCCACAGGGACTCAAGACACTAATACATTAACAATGGCATGGGAGAAGCTTGTCACTTAGCTAATCAGGATTGCCACTAAAGGAAACAGGGGGTCAGGGTGCCATTGTGCTCGACTCCGAGCTATTGTTGCAGTGAGGAGCAAAACCACAATGACCACAGATGGTTTACAAATCATGATATCAGATACGGACAGGGAGTGTGTGCTGTCGAATGGTGGTGTATGATATGTTGGTTAGATGGATATGAGGATAACCTTTGATCTAAAGTGTAGAGCTGCTGTGAAGTGTTTCTATTATTATCTGTATCATTAGGGTCCGGGCAGCTAAGCTGCCAGGACACTATTGTAATCCTAAGTATTCTTCTTCTTCTTCCTAGGAAATCATACTTCCCATGGGTGAAAATTCACCAAACTTTGCACAAAGGTCCAGTCTCATGCCAGATATCCTCAGCTGTAAACTCAAGCCAATAGTCCTGATGGTGGCGCTACAGCAAGCGTCTAACGTTCAAAACTTTGAAAGTTCATAACAAATCAACCATACGTGCTACAACTTCAACTTTCATCAAACTGTAGCCCCAATACTGAAAAAATGAAGTTCATCACTCTGTTTTTTTTTTCAAAAACTGTAATACTTCTTAAACCTGTCTCCTCCCACAATTTTTGTTCAATTGACACCAAACTTGCTACAGAGCATCTTCAGACTGTCCTACAAAAACTGTTTCTCAGATTTTTGATTTATCAAAAATTGAGCCTACAGTGCATCAAAATGTTTGACTGTAAACTGTAAACATATACATTCAAATTCTTGCTAAATAAATCTTCAATGTTCATGAAAAAAATGAAAAAATTCTAGAGTCATGGTAGATGATGTGTGGCAAATTTCAGAATTTTATCTCAAAAATTGAATTTTTGACAGCATTTTGAATTTTGCTCTAATGTGAACAATTGGAGTCAATGTAAAAATGGCAATTTTAAACATCAGTTTTTCACTTATGGAGCAAATCAGTCATTGTTACAAACAAATTAACAACATCTCCATGCTGTCTAGATGCAATATGTGTATTTTCAGATTTTTGTCTTAATAACTGAATTTTTTACAGTGGTTTCAAATCTGCCTTTCCATGCACGGATGGCTGCTTTCCTACACAACAGTGAATGGCTTACTCAATTTGTGAAGCCACTGTTGAGTTGCTACTTGCCAATTAGCTCAGAGCGGTAGGTTCCAGAGGTTGCTCAGAATTGCCTAAAAATGCCCGGACCCGACCCATCGCTGCACAG